TCACCCCCATCCCAGGCCCCAAGAAGACTTTCCACATCAAGCAGATGTTCACCTGCACGTCTGCTAATGTGGTATACTGCATCCGCTGTACCCGTTGTGGCCTCCTCTACGTCGGGGAAACCAAGCGGAGGCTTGGGGACCGCTTTGCAGAACACCTACGCTCAGTTCGCAATAAACAACTGCACCTCCCAGTCACAAACCATTTCAACTCCCCCTCCCATTCCTCAGATGACATGTCCATCCTGGGCCTCCTGCAGTGCCACAATGATGCCACCCAAAGGTTGCAGGAAAGGCAACTCGTATTCCGTTTGGGAACCCTGCAGCCCAATGGTATCAATGTGGATTTCACAAGCTTCAAAATCTCCCCTCCCCCTACCGCATCCCAAAACCAGCCCAGCTCGTCCCCGCCTCCCTAACCTGTTCTTCCTCCCACCTATTCCCTCCTCCCACCTCAAGCCGCACCCCCATTTCCTACCTACTAACCTCATCCCGCCCCCTTGACCTGTCCATCCTCCCTGGACTGACCTATCTCCTCCCTACCTCCCCACCTATACTCACCTTTACTGGCTCCATCCCGCCTCTTTGACCTGTCTGTTTCCTCTCCACCTATCTTCTCCTTTATCCATCTTCTATCCGCCTCCCCCTCTCTCCTTATTTATTTCAGAACCCCCTTCCCCTCCCCCATTTCTGAACAAGGGTCTAGGCCCGAAACGTCAGCCTTCCTGCTCCTATGATGCTGCTTGGCCTGCTGTGTTCATCCAGCTCTGCACCTTAATACGGTAGATCAAGTTGGAGGATGTATAGGTGACCCCTGTCAAATATGGAAAGTTTATCTTGGGCCTTGGATGGAGGTGAGGGCGTGGGGTGGGGGTGTCGGTGGCGAGGTGTATGGGTAGGTGTGGCACCTCCTGTGGTTGCAGGGAAAGATGCCGGGTGTGGTGGGGTTAGTGGGGCTTCTGCCGCTGCCGCCGACGACATCACTTCCGCTTCCACCTATGTTACCATCCCCACACACATACTCACTCCCGGGACAGTCTCCATCCCTACTCCCAGCTCCAGCTGTACACCCTACCCCAGCCCCAAGCCCTGCCGGGTATTCACCATTTCCCGCCCCCCCTTCCCAGACCTCCCCCTCATTAAGGACAAACGGTTAGCCCTCAGCAAAGGACTCGGATTTGTTCCGCTGCACCCCCACACCAACGAATTCCATATATGCCTGGATGTTGAACGCTTTTTGCGCTACCTCCACCTCCATGCCTATTTCTTTGACCAGGAATTTAATCCACCCTCTGCCGACCCCTTCTCCCGCCTCCAACACACACCATCCGCCTGAACACTACCTCACGGCCTCCTACCCTCCCTCGACATCTTCATCTCCACTTGCCGTTGTGACATTGATCGCCTCAACCTCTCCACCCTCTCACTCACTCCAACCTCTTCCCCACAGAACACACAGCCCTCACTCCCTCCACTCCAACCCTAACCTCACCATCAAATCCACCAATAAGGGGAGGCACAGTAGTGGTATGACGCCCTGACATTTACATAGCCGAGGCCAGGGGCCAACTGTCTGACACCTCCTCCTACCGCCCCTTCGATCATTACCCCACCCCTGACCACCAAACCATCGTCTCTCAGACCATTCATAACCTCATCACCTCAGGAATCCTCGCACCAGCAGCCTCCAACTTCATCGTTCCCCAACCCCGCACCGCCCATTTCCATCTCCTTCCCAAAATCCACAAACCTGACTGCCCTGGCCGACCCATTGTCTCTGCCTACTCCTATCCTACTGAACTCATCTCCACTTACATTGACTCAGTCTTTAACAGCCCCCACCCTGGGTCTAGGAACTTCCCACCTATGTTTGGGACACTACCCATACCCTTCATCTCCTCCAAGACGTCCAATTCCCTGGCCCCCAAAACCTCATCTTCACATGGACATCTAATCCCTGTACACTTGTATAGCCATGCAGATGGCCTGAAAACCATCCGCTTCTTCCTGTCCCGCAGGCCCAACCAGTCCCCCTCCACCGACACCCTCATCCGCCTAACTGAACTCGTCCTTACCCTCAACAACTTTTCCTTTAACTCCTCCCACTTCTTACAAACTAAGGGGGTGACTATGAGCACCCGTGTGGGTCCGAGCTACGCCTGCCTCTTCGTAGGACACATGAAACGGTCCCTCTTCCGCTGTTACACTGGCACTATCCCCAAACTCTTCTTCCGCTACATCGATGACTGTATTGGTGCTGCCTCATGCTCCGACGAGGAGCTTGAACAGTTCATCAACTTTACTGACACCTTCCATCCCAACCTCAAGTTCACCTGGACCATCTCTGATACCTCTCTCTCCTTCCTGGACCTCTCTGTCTCCATCTCTGGTGACTGCCTCGAAACCAACATCTATTTTAAGCCCACCGACTCCCATAGCTACCTAGACTACACCTCCTCTGACCCACCCTCCTGCAAAAATGTGATTCCCTACTCCCAATTCCTCCACCATCGCTACGTCTGCTCCCAAGATGGGGCGTTGCACTCCTGAACATCCCAGATGTCCTCCTATTTCAAGGACCACAAGTTCCTCTCTCTGTTAATCAAAAATGCCCGCAACTGCATCTCTTGCATTTCCTGCATTTCTGCCCTCAAACACCCTCCCCCCAACAGAAATAAAGACGGAGTCCCCCAGTCCTCCCATACCACCTCACCAAACTGTGCATCCAGCATCCAGCATATCAAAACCAATTTAGGAATGGGCAACAAATCAGCAGTGACCACATCACGTTAAAAAAAATGAAAAAGAACTTCCGCCACCGACAATCTGACGCCAGCACCAAAGACATATTTCCCTCCCCACCCCTATCTCCCTTTCGTAGGGATCGCTCCATCGTCTGCTCCACACTTCCCATTAACCCCACCAGACCCAGCACCTTTCCCTGCAAATGCAGGAGATGCTACACCTGCCCCTACACCACCTCACCTTCACCCAAGGCCCAAAACAAACATTCCATATCTGACAGGGGTTCACCTGTACATCCTCCAGCTGGTCTACTGTATCCGTTGCTACCGATGTGGCCTCCTGTACATCGCGAGACCAAATGCAGACTCAGGGACCGATTTGTAGAGCACCAGTCCTCTGTACATGACTAATGACAACACCTTCTGGTCGCCAACCATTTTAACTCCCCCTCCCACTCCATTGATAACGTGTCCATCCTGGGCCTCTTCCAATGACGCCATACACAAACCGGAGGAGCAACACCTCATATTCCACCTCAGGAGCCTACAGCCTGATGGCCTGAACTTAGAATTCACCAATTTGAAAATTTCCCTGCCCCTGGCCTCATCCCACGTCCAACCCTCCCTCTCATCCCTGCCTCCTTGACCTGACACACAACCTGTCCATCTTCTTTCCCTACTATCCACCCCACCCTTCTCACTGACTAATCCCCTTCCTGCACTCACCTATATCAATCCCACCTACCTTCCCCAGCCCCACCCCTCCTCTATTTATTTCCCAACTCCCTTCCCCCTCCCCAGTTCTGATGGATGGTCCTGACCTGAAATGTCAACTTTCCTGCTCCTCTCATGCTGCCTGACCTGCTGTGTTCCTCCAGCTGCAGACTGTATTGACTCTGACTCCAGCATCTGCAGTTCTTGCTATGTCTATCGATAGGTGGATTAGTAAAGTTTGCAGATGACACAAAGATTCATGGGAGTTGTGGATATAGAAGGTTGTCAAAGAATACAGCGGGATATAGATCAGTTGCAGATATGGGCGGGGAAATGGCAGGTGGAGTTTAATCCGGGCAAGTATGAGGTGTCGTGCTTCTGGAGATCAAATGTCAAGAGAAAGTTAACAGTTAATGGCAGGACCGTTAACAGCATTGATATACAGAGCGATCTTGGGGTCTTCGTCCATAGCTCCTTGAAAGTGAGCACACAAACATTGTAAAGAAAGCGTATGGCACGCTTGCATTTATTGGTCGGGGAATTGAGTACAAGAGTCAGGATGTCATGTTGCAGCTTTATAAAACTTTGGTTAGACCACATTTAAATTATTGCGTTCAGTTCTGGTCGCCACATTACAGGAAGGATGTGGAAGCTTTGGAAAGGATACAGAAGAGGTTTACCACGATGCTGCCTGGATTAGAGGGCAGGAGATATAAGGAGAAACTGCACAAGGGTTGTTTTCTCTGGAGAGGCAGAGGCTGAGGGGAGATAGAAGTTTATAAAATGATGAGATGCATAGGTAGGGTCGACAGTCAGAATCTTTTTTCCAGAGTTGAATTGTCTGATACTAGGGGGCATGCATTTAAGGTAAGAGGGGGAAAGTTCAAAAGAGATGTGTAGGGCAAGTTTTTTACAGAGTGCTATGTGTGATTGGGGCATATAAAGGGCTTTTAGATAAGCACATGAATAAACAAGGAATGAAGGGATATGGACCATGGGCAGGCAGAAAGGATTAGTTTAGTTTGGCTCATGTTCAGCACAACATCATTGGCCGAAGGGCCTGTTTCTGCGCTGTACTGTTTTATGTTCTATGTTACTGGCCTCATCCACATTTAACTACAGACCCGTAACAATGTGGTTGACTCTTAAGTGCTGTCTGAAATGGCCTAGCAAGCCATTCAGTTCAAGGCTAATTTGGGAATGGGCAACAAATCAGCAGTGACCACATCACATTAAAAAAAATGAAAAAGGAATCTGGATCAAAGATAGGTAATGGAGTTGAAACATGTGTCAGCTATTATCTTGTTGACTTGTAGAACAGGTTTAAGGCATTTTTTGGCTTGCTACTGCCATGTTTCAAATAATAATACTGTAAAAAGGTACTGAAATTCTATGTGAGAAATAAATGGTATAAATTGGTTTTATGTGCATCCTTTCTTCATTTCTGACAACCTTAGACCTGACTTATAAAATGAATATGTCTCCAATCATGTTTGGTAAAAGATGAAGGTGTGCAAATATTAACCGATTTTTGACTATTTTCAGCATGATCGAATGTATCAACATATCAAGACATTTGCCAAAAATGGTGACAATTACTGCAAAGAACTGATATCTGTCCTTCAGCAGAGGTACAATGAACGCGATCTTAACTTAATGATTAGTGTTACAAAAATCTCAAAGTAATTTTGTTGTAAAAAATTGCAGTCCAATCTTTTCCTATAGTTCTTTTTTCTGAACGTTGCAAAGGAGTTTTGTGACTGGCAGTTCTGATCTATATCATGCAATATGAGTATGATCTTGAGTAAGTGAATCCGATCATTTTTCAATGAGATAAATAACAAATTTAAAACTCAGTTAGACACTGTGAATCATTACGTTTGTGTAGGTGAGAAAAATAATTACTTAATCATTGAATAAAAGAATCATTAGCATTTGCTTGGGTAATTTTAAATGCACTAGCTATGTCATTATTATTGCTTCATTCTAGAAATGATTTTTAATACATGACAATGTATTAAAGCACTCTATTCAAAAAGCAGTAAGATTTAGTATGTTTTAGCTGCAATTTGTACTTGTTCTGGCTCCTAGAATTAATCAATATGATATTCGTGCAATGAATGATTTCATGTATGTTTACACCAAACAAATTCCAGCCATAATGCCAATGTTAGGCATTAAAAGATATTAAATAAATAATGTTTAAAATGTTGTAAAAACAGATTTTAGGACATGTCGTTTTTGCCGTAATGCAAGATTTCAGGCTAAGAAGTTAACAGTGATTGAAACATACTCAATTTCTCTCTATCAGAGAAATAACCTGTCTGTGTTAGGAGGTGCACTTCTTGTCATTGGTATGCTATTCTGTGCCTGAAAGACTTGTGCATTATTGACAAATTCCTGTATCAGTGAAACGTGCTTCTCTCTCAAATTTTATTTCCCTGAAATATTTCTCCATCACAGAAATATTTTTCAGGAACTAAAACAGAAGTTGCTGGAAAAGCTCAGCAGGTCTGGCAGCATCTGTGAAGAGAAAATCAGAGTTAACATTTCGGGTCCGGTGACCCTTCTTCAGAACGTAGGAAACCTAATAATGACAATCTTCCCCGTTTTTGCGGTCCTAAAATGTTCTCCCTTTCCCACCTAAGTGATTATGATATCATCACATTGGGTTGCACTTAATGCAGCCCTCAGCATTAACCCTTTCAGAACTATTACTTTATACAACACAGCAACACTTGGAATCCACAGTAATGATCCAGGAGAATGGAGCCCGGCAGTAGCCGGGAAGATTGAATCCGAATACTTAAACGATTAGAAAAAGTCTCATTCCAACTTTTCACAGGCATTTATGAGTGTTAATAAATGTAAAATTGCCTTAGTCCTCCTGGACATAGGGCTGCTCTCTCATTAGAAAGAAACAATTGGTGATGGTTTAATGACACCTCAGACAAGAGGAGAGGTTGAGAAGGAGAGCTCTTCATGGTAACTTTAGCTGTTGGGCGAATTGAATCCTCACTGTTGGCATCAATCTGCATTGCAAACCTGCCATCCAGCCAACTGAGCTAACTGACCTTTTGAGTATTAATATTGCTGTATGAAATTGAGGCCGTGCCTAATGAACCCAATAGAATTCTTTGACGGAATCACTCAGAAGAGGATTAACAAATGGTGTGTGTGTGTGAACTTTTGGAAGATGTGGCTGACATTTATATTGTTATTTAAAATTGAATTACAATGGGTTATACAAGAAACTGGGGACCAAATATCTTGGCAGGGAGCTTTGCTAGTGTCAGTCAGGAGGGTTTAAAATAGTATGGTGGGAGTGGGGGGAACCAGATCAGTAGGTCAGCAAGTGAAATGACTGAGGACGAGTCGGAAATTAAGACTAATAGGAAGAACAGATATGGAGAGGTTACAGAACACAGCAGGACTGGCAGTGTGAAGTGTATTTGTTTAAGGTGAGGAGCATAACGGGTAAAGCAGATTAATTTAGAGCTTGGATTAGTACATGTAACTTTGATGTTATAGCGATATAGGGACTTGGTTGCGAGGTTAATGTTCCAGGATTTAGATGCTTCAGGTGAGATAGAGAGAGATGTAAAAGTGATGATGGAGTTACATTTCTGATTAGGGAGAATATCACCGCAGTACTGAGGGAGGTCACCTCAGAGGGCTGATCCATTAAGGCTATATGATACAGCTCAGGAATAGGAAGGGTACGATCACTTTGATGGGATTGAACTACAGGCCTCCCAACAGTCAACAGCTGATAGAGGAACAAATGTGTAGACAGATTATGGAAAGAGTTAAAAACGACAGGGTTGTTGTGGTGGGCAAATTTATCTTGCCCAATATTGACTAGGACTCCCTTAGTGCCAAGGGCTTAGATGGGGGAGAATTTATTTGTTGTGTCCAGGAGGGTTTCTTTCAGCCATTTGTAAATGGCCCAACTAGGGAAAAGGCCATACTAGACATGGTATTGGGGAATGAGCCCAGCCAGGTGATCCAAGTTTCATTGGAGGAGCATTTCAGGAATAGTGACCATAATTTCATATGCTTTAAATTATTTCGGATGAGGATAAGCGTAATCCTTGGGTGAAAGTACTAAATTGGGGGAAGGCTAACTAGGACAATATTAGGCAGGAACTAGGGACTGTAAATGGGAGGTGTCTGTTTAACGGTCAATCCACATCTGTCATGTGGGAATATTTTAAAGGCCAGTTGATTAGAGTTCAGGACCAGCATGTTCCTGTAAGAATGAAGGATAACAATGGCAAGATTCAGGAATCTTGGATGATGAGAAATTGCATACTTAGTCAAAAAGAAAAAGGAGGCTTTAGGAAATTGAAGATTTAAAGAGAGCAGGAAAGAACTTAAATAAAGAGTTAAAAGAACTAAAAGGGGACATGAAATGTCCTTGGCAAATAGGATTAAGGAAAATCCCAAAGTGTTTTATATGTGTATAAGGAACAAGAGGGTAGCTAGGGAAAGGGTAGGTCCACTCAAGGACAAACGAGGGAACTTTTGCATGGAGCCAGAGGAAGTGATAGACCTTGCTCATCTTGGAAAATTACAAAGAAGTGTAATTTGAGACGGGAAGATGGTGCAGATAATAAATATAGGGGTTTAGGTGCGTCTTTGCGTTTGCTGGGCCTTATTTTTGTCTTGCATATCAGCAGCAGTTGTGACATTTCTTGGATCAATGACAGGATGACCTTCTAAGCTGTGTTCATTCTTTTCCTGATTATTATCTCCATCCAAATTCTCCTCCCTTTCCCATGATACTTCCTCTGCTTCCTGTCGCTGGATTCTATCCAGTATGTCATTATGCAAAATGCAATAGCTGATGATGGTTCAGGACATCTGTGAAACAGCATATTTCTTTGGGAGGTTTATTTTTGCTGCAGTGTGTTTCAGGATAAAATTTAAGCGCAAGTGGGCGCACTTATCAGAAGTGACAGATAAACCTAACAGTTTCCTACTTATGGTTTCATTGCCTAGGTTGCTGCTTCAAAGAAAGGCGATTGTGTGGCATTGCAGGTTTAAAAAATATTCAATAAGAAGCAGGCACCAGTCTTTAAATAAGGGGTAACTGTGCATCATTACAGTTTTACCATTGCATGACTCTATTATAAACACATGACATTTAATTGTGTGTATTTTTTCAGAGCTGACCTAGAAAAGAAGTATGGCAAAGGACTCTTGAGACTAGCAAACAAAATTACCAAAGCATCCACCAACATGATTAAAAAGTAAGTATCTGAAGTTTAAGTTTCTGCATTTAAATTTTAAAAAGTGCTATCTGTCTGGTCTCCTATGGGGGAAATGGCACATCAAAAAAAATCTAGGAATTTGTTAAATGAAATGAAGATTTCTGCCTCCAGCAGCCTTCAGGGGTAGTGACTTCCAGATTACTAAGATACTCTGACGACAAAGTTCTCCAAATACTTTCTAATCCCACCACCAAGTACTTAAAATCCCAAATATTGGCATATGAGAAATGGGTTCCGCTTAATGGGGCATTGGTACCAGCACAGAGGAAAAAGTGTTGTTTTAATGGATGGGCTTCATTTTAACCTTGCATGGACCAGTGTCTTGGGAGTTCCTATAAGTCAGATTATAAATGGAACTTAGTTGGGGAGGCTGTCATTTGAATGAAAGCTTGAAAAAAATCGGTAATTAAAATAAAGAGAAGAGGCACAGGGCAGAGACAAGCAATAATGTGTGACAGGACTGGCAAAATATTTAAGCAGAAGAGTACAGCAAAAATTTGAACCAGAATAAGTAATAAAGACTAAAATGGCAAAGCTTTTATCAGGCTCTTTATCTGAATGCATGCAGCTTTTGCAACAAGATAGATGAGTTGACAGCACAATTAGAAATAAATGAATATGACTTAATGGTTATTTCAGAGATGTGGTTGCAGGCTGATAAGGACTGGGAATTCAATATTCAAGGGTATTCAACCTTCTGAAAAAATAGGCAAAAGGAAAAGGAGATGAGGTAGCATTGTTAATAAAAGGTGTCAGTGCAGTGGTGAGTAGTGATATAGGTACAACAGATCAAGTTGTAGAATCTGTTTGTGTGGAAATAAGGAATAGTGAGGGCAAGAAGTTATAGGTGGAAGTTGTCTATATGCTCTCAAGGATTGCATCACTGTAGAACAAAGTATACATTGGAAAATAATGAAGGTAAAAAGAGCACTAAAATTGTTGTTGGGGATTTTTATCTGTATGTTAACCAGACAAACCAGATGGGCAAGGGTATTGTGAAAGATGAATTTGTATTGTGCGCAAAATTGTTTCTTAGAGCTTTGGTTGCACAACCTACCGTGGAACAGGCTATAGCTGGCATGAAAGGGGAGTTGAAGCCTAGGACAGACAAGCCATGATAGCGTAGGCGAGAGGGGCTGATGGCCTTTTTCTTAGGCTCTTAACATTCTTCCCACCACTTCTTCATTAGTACTTTTTGAGAAAATGTCAAAATTTTATCCCATTGCTGCTTTATCACCCAATAGCCTCCGATTATGTTCAATATTGCCACATTCAAATCATTTTTACACACAAGACCAAAATTAGACTGAAGTGTATTTCATTTTCAACTTTTCACTCAGCATAATACTGTACCTTTACTGCAGCTCTGTCTATCTTACTGCATAACATGTTTATTTTTTTAACATGCCTCTTGGGAATCCTTTCTGAAAGTCTGTATCCATTGTTGGCATTTGTTTATCACTCCAGTCACCAAAAAAAAATGTATTGGCTAAGGTTTTGCTGGAGCAGGATATGCTTGTTAGTTAGACTTGTTCAAACATACGTGTGTATATACTTGCATTTTCTGGAATTCCAAGCTGATAATGAGGCAACAGGGAAAAGTTCTCTCTTTGCCACAAGTTACTGGCTAATTTATATTTTAGCAACAGCGTGTTTGTTCACATGCAGTTATATTTTCAGCAAACTCTGAGCCATTAATTATCTCAAACCTGACTTGCCTTTATGAAATCTACACAGGCTTTCTTCAATGCACATTTTTGAATGCTCACTAATTTTAACTCGAGAATTCAAATTCCTTGATTCAGGAAACAGAGCCAGGTCACAGTAAGGAAAACATCAAATTATAAATAACAGACTTCCAGGGAAACTAACTTAATTAATTCTTATGTAAACCAATGTGCACAATTCAATGTCTTTTTTCCAGTATAATCCTCAGACAAAGACACGGTTAATATCTTCATAGGCTTTGTGAAGATGGTTGGACCTAGGACACTGCTTAATGAATCCCAGCAGCAGTGTCCTGCGGCTGAGATGAACGATTGACCTCTTAGATCCACAACTATCTTACTTTTGTGCTAGGAAATATTCCGGCCATGGAATAATTTCCCATGCTTCCAAATTCCTTCAGATCTGCTAGGATTCCTTATTGCCATTCTTTTTGGTCAAATGTTGCCTTGATGTCATTCCACCAGGCTGAACTCTACCCATTTCCTTGTCTGTCCAACCATTGTTCTGTCTCTCTGGGCTTCATTTCCACCCATCTTTTATTCCTCCTGCCACCCCTCTCCCCATCTTTTGCATATAAATACCAATCTTTTCCAAGCTACAATCAGTTCTGAAGAAGGGTCACTGGACCCAAAACATTAACTCTGTTTTGTCTCCACAGATGCTACCAGACCTGCTGAGTTTTCCCAGCAATTTCTGTTTTTGTTTCTGATTTCCAGCATCTGGAGTTCTTTCCTTTCGCTTGATGCCTTACTGTTGCTTCACCTCACTCAGATTTGTCGTCTATGTTTAGACCAAGGCTGAGAGGTCTGACAAAACCCGACTTGGAAAGAAGTCTAGAGTCAATATTGAGGATACCCTGGTCAACCATCTACTCGAATATTTACTAGTTTGCTTCCACCTCTGATGGGCCAGTCATGATGTTCAGACAGGAAATGCCCGGGCAATGGTACTGAAGACACTTGTTGTGGAACTAGCACTGCCATAGTTCTCCTCGCACATCAGGCAGGGAAAATCCAACTTGGCTCATTAGAGCTCTATCAGTGTACTCTTGATCATCAGCAAAGTGGTGGAAGGGTTATCGACAGTGCTGTCAAATGATACTTGCTGAGAACTAACCTGCTCACTTGAAACTCAGTTTGGTTTTACCAAGATCGGTCCTGACTTCAGTTCTTGGCATCATTAAAGCCTTGGTCCAAACCAGGATAGAAATGCTGAATTCCAGGGGTGAGGTCAGAATGACTGCCCTTGATATTAAGCCAGCATTTGACCAAATATTGCATCGAGGAGCCCCAGCAAAGCTGATGTGAATGGGAATCGGGGATAGCCCTTCAAGTTGGGATTGACCTTGCACAAAGAAATGTGGTTATTTAGGAGGTCAGTCATCTCAGGACATCACTGCAGGTGTTCCTCAAGGCCAAGTCCCAGACCCAACCATTTTTAGCTGCTTCGTCAATGACCTTCCCTCCATCATAAGGTCAGAAATGGGGATTTTTTTTATGATTGCACAGTATTTAGTATCCATCATGGCTTCAGAGATACTAAAGTAGCCCAGTAAGGGCGTGGAATGCCCTGCCTGCAAAAATAGTAGACTCGCCCACTTTAAGGGCATTTAAATGGTCATTGGATAAACATATGGATGATAATGGAATAGTTTAGGTTAGATGGGCTTCAGATTGGTTTCACAGGTCGGCGCAACATCGAGGGCCGAAGGGCCTGTACTGTGCTGTAATGTTCTATGTTCTATGTTCTATGTTCTATGTCCACGCAGCAAAATCTGGACAACACCCAGTCGAGTTGATAAGTGGCGAGCAACATCACGCCACACAAGTGCCACATTGTGCCACACACTGTCTCAAACAAGGCAGAATTTTAACTCTCTCCTGTTGACATTCACTAGCACTATCATCACCGAGTCCCCCATTGTCAATGTCTTGAATGTTACAATTGGTCAGAAAATAGCCATATAAATATTGTGGCTGCAAGAGTAGGTCAGAGGCTCAGAATTCCTCTCCTCTCTCACCAATGCCCACTCACTATCTACAAAGCCCAATTCAGGCATGTGATGGAATATTCTTCCCTTGCCTGGATGAGTTCAGGTTCAATAATGCACTGCAAGCTTCACACCAGCCAGGACAAAGCATCCATTCATCACCTTCAGCATTCACTCACTTCACCAGCAATGTACAGTGGTAGCAGTGTGTGCCATCTTGTGCAAATTCCTTCAACACCTTCCAAAACTCTTAGAAGGGCAGGGCAGCAGATGCATGGGATCAGCACCACCTGCAAGTGATGCTCTACGCATACGAATTTGGAGCTAAATTGCTGTTCCTTCACTGTTCGTTCAAAATCCTAGAACTCCCTATCTAACACTGTGGACACACCTAAACTCCAAGACAGCACTTGTTTAAGGAGGTAGCTGAACACCATCACCTCCAAAAGGCAATTAGGCAGGCAAAAAAATGATGGCTTACACTGTGATGTCCACATCCCATGGATGAATTTTTTTTTAAAAATCAGAACAATTGCAAAAACCCCCAGGCTCCAAAATAGGTACAGTATTTTCTAATTGATTATTGTGTTTTTTTTAAAACAGCTTGCATATTACGAAGGATACCTTACTTAATTCTTTATTTAAAGTCAACATAATAACATGATTTAAAAATTCATACCACATCATTTTTTAGACAAAAAGAGATATTGAAACATCTGGAGTCATTGCTTGAAAAATATGCAAAAGGGAGATCCAACAGTTGTTTACTGGCCCTGTTGTAATATTGGGCAGCCTTGAACATAGCCAGTGCCAAGTAGTAGTCAGGTATAATGAGATTACCACCAAAAACAAGTTATTTTTATGTATACATACCTGAATATGTAGGATTACTACAAATGAACAGTTTACATTCTGATGAGAACAAGACAAAATCATTTATTACTCCTGTAGGTTTACTTTCTAAAAAAAAATAATTGAGCTTTGCACTTCAGTATTTCTTTGAAGTAATGTAGATGCAACAGGATGAGTGTCAAGTAAGACCAATCTACCTTGAGTTCATAGACTTTTCTTCAATTTCTTGAAGTTGTTTTTCAAGCCATAAAATATTGATTCTGAAATAGTTAAATTTGGGAACAATCCTCCCATAGATATGTCCTAGCCACTGCCTTTCTAGTTTGGTTTGTTTCTGTTCATGTGATATAAGAACATAAGAACTAGGAGCAGGAGTAGGCTGTCCGGCCCTTCGAGCCTGCTGCCATTCAATAAGATCATGGCTGATCCTTTCGTGGACTCAGATCCACTTACCCGCGTTCTCACCATATCCCTTATTTCCTTTATTGTTCAAAAAAAATCTACCTTTTTTTTTGAAAGCGTTTACTGAAGTAGTGTCAACTACTTCACTGGGCAAGGAATTCCATAGATTTACAACCCTCTGGGTGAAGAAATTCCTTCTCAGTTCAGTCCTAAATCTGCTCCCTCTAATCTTGAGGCTATGCCCTCTTGTCCTAGCTTCACCTGCCAGTGGAAACATCCTCTCTGCTTCTATCTTATCTATTCCCTTCATAATTTTATATGTTTCTTATTATGTAAAAGAACTCCATATGTAGAAAGTAAATATTCATTTATGAAAAGTTAAGTGTTAACACCCAAGTTTTTCAGTTGTTCTTTGAGGTTACCTACAGTTGCTGAATCTTTCAGAACTTCTGGGTAAGAAGGGGGAAAAGGTTTTAATATTTTTGACCGTTACACAGCAGCCCTGCTGAACATAAGGAATTGCGAACATGAAGGGTGGCCAGGATTAGGGATTAGACTTGTCAGTGATGCCTTATGAAGTACTAGCCTGTTAGTATTTCTGTCAGGGTTCACACATGAATGACGGCCAGATGGTAACTGGCATTCATGGAATTGTATCCCAGCTGGGAGTCAGTGTCATTAGAAGTGACAGTGAAGGCAGAAAATTGGCATCAAAAATAAAGGACTGATTGTGTTACAGTCTCCATGGAAACTTTTATATCTTTGAGTGCACAAATGTTTGTAATTTTCAGTTGTTGAAATTTCTGTAATAACTATACATTTCCAGCACTGCAGTGGTGACATTTTAAATATTCGCCACCCCTCAACTCTATTTTTATCAGAGTAGTTTTGGACAATATACAATGTTTTGTTTTGAAACAAGCTTATTCTTGATATAATCAATGACTTCATGTTGTCAGTCATTTAACAAATACCTCTATTTGCAGCTCCATTTTTGATGGGTGGAACTGCGTCTCTCAAGAAATGACGTTTACTGCAGAATTGCACGGGTGGGTTTAAAGGCGGCCTGAGATGAGTCAGAACCACTGTTTCAGAGCAATAGCTTGGAAAAACATATACTTCACTATTCTGTGAACTTGAGCATTGAACTATTTATATTGTACTTTATTTGTCTGTGTATTACATGATGCTAATAGATGATACTATAATAGTCAGAGTTTTCGATGTCTATTTAGCTGTCACTATGGCAAGCCACAACTCAATAAACATGAGATTCTGACAACTTTTGTCTACAGTTCATTCCCCCTGACTCAGAGGTGAGAATTTTACCACTGGTAACTCACCCTGGTCATCTCTGCATCTAGTTTATAGAAACCATATTCAAGCCTCCATTTGCTGAGGAGTATTAGAAGAAAATTCACAAAATAGTGAACTTCTTCAGAATCAGATGTTTGTAATGTCAAAATTGCAGATCTGAGCTAAAATCATGGGATATGTCATTATCTGCTCCCTCAGGATCAGTATATAAAATCCTTTATGTAAGCTGCTTCCTGCCTGATCATTTATCATGAATCATTGATATGATTCCTACAACGTTTGCTGTCACCGTTTAGAAACATTGTTAGCTGTAGCATTTAACCCTTTGACATTTAGTAGTTGTAAGTGGTGGCTTTCTGTATTTTGAAGTATATGCTTTTTTTTTCCATCTCGTTGTCTCCAATGACTAGTTGAAATCTCACAATTGAAAGCTTGGATTAGCACCATGTGTTTGCCATTTTCCATTTTTTGCAGATGAAGTGGCTCATTTTTAACAATTGCTTTCAAGTTAAATCAACTGGATGTTTTAACTTCTCTTGGCAGCATTTTCTTATGATTGTACTCAATGTTATAATGTAAATTTGCCCAGTGGATTTTTTTTTCCCAAAAAACTGATCAAAATCAATCCACGACAGTTTTCTGGAGCGTGGATGAAACTTTCAAGATCTCTATCTGTACTGCCAGAAGTCTCCTCTTTGCACATTTTGTCTCTTGGTTGCAACTGTTAGTAAAAATAGAACCAAGCTTGCAGTACTCTTTAGCAAAGTAAGCAGCAAATCAGGTCATGCTCATGGCATGAAAGATGAGGATGAAGATATTGGAGGATTTGATAGTGTTTGCATGAATGCTAAGAATGAGGAGATGCCAAATTGTATATACATATTTATATCTATCAAATTCTTTCTGCATAATGTTGAACCAGTAGCTCCTGCTATATGTGGCAAACATGCTTTCATTATTAAAGCGATTGTACTTCAATTTATCTGACCATCCTGCTTGAGAGATTAAGACTGTAGCTTCACCAGCCCTTTGACCCTACTCACTCTTGTTACTGCCTTAGAAACTGTTCATCATTCCATTTCATTCTACTATCTGTTTTGAGGAATTCAACTGTGCATTAGTATTCTTGTCCTCATTTCAACGTAACTGCTATATCTTCTCAAAAATATTCTCATATCCTGTATAGTCATTCATATTGTGCCCAAAGTTATAAAGGTGATAACCTCTTATCATCCAGACCCTAATGATTAAAGGCACACCAATGAAGTTAGTTTCTATATGTATCCCAATGCAATTCTTGCATTTCTGCCAACATCATTAACTCTATCGTAGTTCTCCATAACCTCACTCCATCCTGTATGGGATGTTTACTTCAGTCTTTACTGATGATACACTTTCCTCCAACTCTGGATTATGAAATACTATACCATTCCTTCTGTCCCATCATCAAAGGCTGATTGCAGCCATAACAGGAACAGGAGTAGGCCATTTTGCACTTTGAACCCATTCTGCTAATGTATTACCTCATGACTAATCTCTACTTTAACTGGATTTACCCACATTTTTTCATATTCACAATAGCCTTACCTAACACCTACTTTCGTTTAAGGGAGATATGCGTGTAAAGTTCTTTACGCAGATGGTGGTGCCTGGAATGCGTTGCCAGCGGAGGTGGTAGAGGCGGGCACGATAGCGTCATTTAAGATATATGTAGACAGATACATGAATGGGCAGGGAGCAGAGGGATACAGATGCTTGGAAAATGGGCGACAGGTTTAGATAGAGGATCTGGATCGGGGCAGGCTTGGAGGGCCGAAGGGCCTGTTCCTGTGCTGCAATTTTCTTTGTTCTTTGTTCTTTGTCCAAGGCTAAGATTGATCAACCGATATCCACAGCATTTTGGTTGGAGAGTTCAGATTTCCACTACCTTTTTATGTGAGGAAGTGCTTCTTGATTTCATTCAACTACCTGGCCTAGCTTCAATGTTAAATATATTTCCTGTTATTTGAGATTCACTCATCAGAGGCAATATTGACCCCACTGAACCTTCTGAACTCCAAGGAACACAACCCAGTCCGAGCAGTCTGCCCTCATAATTGAAGCCTTTCTGCTTCAGGATTATTCTGGGAATCTGGATCATTGAAGAGAGAATGGTATTGTATTTTTGTTTTGTATGAATGCCCAAACTTCAATATAGAACATCAGATGAGGTCTGATTTGGGGATATGCATTCACTGTTGTATTTCATCCCTTGAGATGCTCTAATCTTTAGAAATACTTTTTGTATTGGTATGCTAGCTTTTAATTATTTCAGTAATAGGCTTCTAAAACCCTGTACTCTTATCAATGCATATAATACTTGTCCTTTTAAAACTGCTTAGGCTTGCTACTTTTCTCTTACCTTCAAAGAAACCTCCAAAAATCTTTATATCTGTTATCCATTGGTTTCCCCCAAATTCACCTTTCTGCTCAATGTGTATCTCTCCTCAAGCATTCTGAACACTCTTTGTAAGGGTAACTTGTACTTTTTTTCATGTTTGGTGATAATATCCGTAGAAAAATCAATCTGGTAGCTTGGTACATTTTTCACATGCTCGGTGAAATTTAGATTTAACAATTATTGTATCCGTTATTCAAAACAGGAAATTAGCTATTGCCATTCAGCAAGAAGCAATTAAACCAATCCGTCAAATGCTGGATGAACATACTAAAAGGAGAAAGTCAGTATGTATTGTGCATTCTATAAAATGTGTTTCTCTGTATGTTGGCTAATTTATTTCTGTTGTCCTTTTAACATTTAATCTTTCCTTTTCTGTCCAATTTCATACCCGTACGTCAGATGGATAATGCTGTTGAAAAGTCATCAAAGTGTGTTACAGACAACTGGAATCAACAAATTAAGGTATAAGTTAACATTTTTAATGTTTCTCTTAGACTGTCGGCACAATTTAAAATTTTTTAAAGTCATTTTAATGTTTTAAGCATATTGTGTAGAAGCACAAAACTAATTCTATTGAACGTGCTTTGCTTACAAACCAATAGCATAATTTTAAATATAACTTGTGCTGAATATCTACCTAGATTTGTTTTTGGGTTTGCAGGCATTGAAAAATATATTTAAAATGGGATTTCCTTGCTTTATCAAATAAGAATAACTTACTTGATACACAATAATTCAGATTCTAATTTATTGCAATGCTTTTGGATTACAGATGAAAAAGAAGTTAATGAGATCTACCAAGCACCATGAATCTGTCTCTGATTTGGTGGAAAACAACAAACAAATAGTAACTGAAAAAGAGAAAAAAAAGGTTGTGCATATTGTACTATTTAAAATGGCGAACTTTTGCAGCACACTGCTGTCTGACGTTAAGTAAACTGGGATGAAAGTGTGATTTTGTTTTGAATTTGTTATCTGGTTATAGCTGGCATTATAGTCACCTCTTTTATCATTGAGCAGCTATAATACTTCCTCAGTCCTGTCATTAAGGAACTTAGGTTGTTTATCTCTCAGCTGATTTCTATTTTTCAATTGTTTGGTGAATCATATCAAAATGATATTGGCAGTTTGTGTCACCATGGAAGTTACAGGCTGGGTCCTATTGGAATGGATAAATAATTCATCAGTGATAGTTGATTTTGTAACACCATTATAATGTAAGAAAACAATTATTCAAGGTACTGTTGTAGCCATGACAATAATGTAGTTTACTACAGAGTTATGTACAGAAATTTCAAACATGTAGAAATAGCATATGCCCAATGTCCCCTTCATCTATTTAACCTATCCAATATACTTCTGATCCAATGGATCATAATGTGGCCATTTCCACCAACTTAAATCCTTTCTTGTAATTTCTTGACGTATGTGCAACTAGTTCAGATCGTACAGAAGCAAAACAAAGAGTGCTGGAAATATTTAACAGGTTTGGCAGCATTTGAGGGGAGAGAGAAACAGTTAACGTTTTGTATGGAAGATGATTCTTCTTTCAGATCCCACAGACCCTGGTTTATGTTATTGTAGGTTACAGTCATCAGTAGCAATCTGCCTCAAATTTGATCACCAATCATTATGATGGCTTCTGTGAAGGCCTCTTCTATTGGTTCCCAGCTCTATTTCCAAACCATAATGTTGGACATTTAGAATATAGCCTTTTTACATCACTTGTCACTTCGTACATATTCTCTAAATTTTCTGTGTGAGATCAAAACAAGTAAACAGTACCTATATATCTCCCCTCACACATGGTATAGCCTGAAAATCATTTAATTATACAGTTTATGAACACAAACGTGTAACATTGTTTTTACCTTTATTATTCAGTTCAGTTTTCTTCTGTATTACCAGCACATATGAATTAATACAAATATAATAAATATAGGGACTGTGCTTGTAATAAACTTGGACAGTTATCACTGGGAATATCAACTGGCAAGGTAGTATTCCTTGTGCACTATTGCTACTGATCAGTCCAAAGTCTACTGCCCATCCCTAATTAGCCTGGAGAAAATGGTGGTGAGCTGCCGCCTTGAACTGCTGCATTCCTTAGGTATGTGGACACCCATAGCGCTTTAGGAATGAAGTTTCAGGTTTCTGACCCAGTATTTTGAAGAAACAGCAATATAGTGCCAAGTCAGTGTTGCTTGAAGTGGAACTTGCAACAGGTGGGGTTCCCATGTAGCTGCTGCCCTTGTCCTTCTGGGTGATAGAGGTCACAGGTTAGGAAGGTGCTTGATGATTTGTTGCAGTGCATCATTTTGATGGTACACACTGCATGAGATGCCAATCAAGTGAGATGTTTTGGCCTGAATGGTATTAGCTTCTTAAATGTTATTGAAGTTGCACTCATCCAGGCAATTGGCGACGACTCCATCACACTCCTGATATGATGGTGTAGATGACAAACAGGCTTCTGGGAGACAGAAGTTGACTTACTTCCTGGCCGTTCACCTACTGTTGCAGCCACTGTATTTATATGGCTAGTCCAGACCACTTTCTGGTCAATAGCAACCCTTAGGACGTTGATATTGGGAGATTCTGTGATGGTAATCCCATTTAATTTCAAAAGGTAATGATTATATGCTGTATAGTTGTAGATGGTCATTGCTTGGCATTTGAGCATTGATCCCAATTTCTAGGACTCTTTGGTCAACAAGGCTGTGTTTGCTGATGTAGTTTCCTGCCCCAGGGTTGATGCTGGGTGGTTCATTCAGTTTAGTTCATTTGTTTAGACCTTGTAGCAGTTTTAATACAACTGAGCGACTTGCTAATGACTTTGAGCAGTTTAAAGTCTATAAGACAATATGAAATGGGAACAGGAAAAGGCCATTTGGTGCATCCAGCCTGCTCTATCATTCAATAGGAGCATGGCTGATCCAACACTCCTTATGTTCGCTTTCCTGTCGTTTCCCCATAACAGTTGATTCCCCTACCGATTGAGAATCTATCTATCTCTGCCATGAAGATACACAAGGGTTCTGTCCCCACATTTCTCTTAGCAAGTAGTTTCAAAGACATTTAATCTCTGAGAGAAGAAGTACTGCCTCATCTCAATTTTAAATTGGTACCCTTTAATTCTGAGACTGTGCTGTCTGGTCCTAGATTCATTCGTGAGGGGAAACATTCTCTCAGCATGGACCTTGTCAAGCTCCTTAAGAATCCTATACATGTCAATGAGATCACCTCTCAATCTTCTGAATTCCAATGAGTACTTGGGGCTTTTTTTTCCCCCAGGAGCATTGGAGGCTGAGGGGTGACCTTATAGGAGTTTATAAAATCATGAGCAGCATGGATAGGGTGAACAGCCAAGGTCTTTTTCCCAGGGTAGGGGAGTGGTGCTAGAGGGTGTAGATTTAAGGTGAGAGGGGAAAGATTTAAAAGGGACCTGAAAGGTATCTTTTTCACACAGAGGGTGATGTGTGTATGGAACAAGCTGCCAGAGGTGGTGGTGGAGGGTAGTACAATTACAACATTTAAAAAGCATCCAGATGGGCACATGAATAGGAGGGGTTTAGAGGGATATGGCCCAAATGCTGGCAAATGGGACTGGATCAGTTTAGGGTTTCTGGTCAGGATGGATGAGTTGGGGCAAAGGGTCTGTTTCTGTGCTGTACAATTCTATGATGCTGAATAGAGGCCCAAACTGCTTATACCTTTGCTCATAGACAAGCCGTCCTCACTGGGGATCATTCCTAGTGAACCTTCTCTGAACTGCTTCTAATGAAATAATATATTTTCTTAAAGGGACCACAGTTGTTCACAGTACACCAGATGTCTCACCACCACCTTGTACAGTAGTAGAAAGATGTGTCTACTGTTATCTTCAACCCCTTGAAATAAAGGCCTGCACTCCATTAGCCTTCCTGATTACCTGCTGCACCTGTGTGCTAGCTTTCTGTGTTTTGTGCACAAAATCAACCACATTGCTGTGGGCCTGGAGTCACATACAGGCTGGACCAGGCAAGGACGTCTGATTTTCTTTCCTAAAGGTCAATATTGAACCATATGCATTTTTGCATTCAAACAGTAGTTATATAGTAGCCATTCCAGACTTTAAAAAAAAAATTAAATTTCACCATGGTGGGATTTGAACCCATGTCCCCAGAACATTAGCCATGGACTCTGTATTACTAGTCCAGTGACATTACCACTGTGCCCCTGCATCCTTATGAATCACCTGGCATATACATGTATTGGTTCTGCGTAGCTATTCAACACATTTATTTTAAAGTAGTTTAACACATGCATAAAGGTAGTGCACATACGTTTATGCTTATGGGTACTTTAAACATTTGTATGTGAAGTATGTGAAGTTGGATTGTTAAGAGCCGCCTGTCACCGGACACACAAACTGTGTAGTTTAATTATCCTGTAACACTGATCTCAAGTGAACAAGGTCATCTTTCCTCATTTTTACTCTTAATCATCCTATTAAGGTTAGGAACTCACTATAGGGAATCAATTCCATAGTACACAATCCTACAGGCATGTATTTAATGTGTGAGTCCTCTTTATTTTGTTCAAAAGTACAATGTTGCAGGTACTGGAAACTTGAAATAAAAACACAAATTACTACAAATACTGGGCATGTCTGGCAGCATGTGTGAAGAGAGGAATAGAGTTAACATTCTAGATCTATGGCATTTGAAGAGAACTGATTTATTTTACATATGTTTTGAATTATAATCAATAACCTAACTTACAAATGTTATACTGCGAAGTTTTAATATTCATTACTGCACAAGTTTTAATACATTATGCTATTAGAACTAATTTTTTTTCTAAACTAAATGTTTGTTGTTATTGGTTTGATCCTATAGCAGCTGAAAAAACTGAAAAAATCATCAGGGATGCTGACAAAAATTGATCAGCAGTACTATGAACTAAACAGGGCTGGCGAGGATGTCAGACTCAAGTGGGAGTCTACATTTGAACAGTCTTATCAGGCAAGTTAAAGGTATTTATAAATAAAGGACTATTTTAGAGGATTATATGATTTCTATGGAGTATTTTTAGGAAATCAAATAAAACCTGCTTCAGTTAATTCATCGAAATCAAGAATTAATGAGAATTATGGCTCAGCTATTTATTACTATATAATTTCCCATCACTAGGGAAAAACTACTTTTAAATAATATAGATGAACTAGTAGTACAAATTGAGATTAAAAAGGTATGATCTAGTAGACATTACAACACATGGCTGCTGGATGACCTAGATTGTGCAACGTTTAGGAAGCTAGGAAAGAGTGGAGGAGTGGCTATGTGAATTAAAGATGATATTGGCACAACAGAGAGTGATGATCTAAATTCAGAAAACTGATACAGAAGAAGTCTGTGTTGGGATTAGGAATGACAAAGACACGAGTCAGTTGTGGGAGTTTTGTACAGGCTCCCAAATAGTAACCACATGGTAGGATAGAGTATTAAGGAAGTAAAACTGGGAGCTTGTCAAAAGGGTAGAAGCAATTCTTTGGACATTTTTACCTTCATATAGACTGGAAAAATTAGATGGGGGAAAAAAATAATTTCTTGGAAAAATTCATTGAATGTTTTCTAGACAATTTCTTAAGCCAGTGTGTTATGGCCCTAATAGAGAGCAAGCCATGCTGGACCTGTTTTTGACCAATGCAATAGGATTAGTTAATGACCGCATAGTGAAAGCACCTCTGGGTTTGAGTGACTATGATTGTAATTGAATTTTACATACTGTTTAAGGAAATGAGGTGTGGGTCAAAGACTACTTTTATGAATTTACACACTAGCATCATGAGGGCATGAAAGTAGAACTGGTGAAAGTGAACTAGCAATTTCAATTAAGGATACATTAATAGAGATCAGTGGCAAACATTAAAGGGGATATTCTAGAAAATGCAGAATAAGTACATTTGGAAAAAGAGGTTCTAAAGGGCAGCCTTGCCATCCACAGTTAATTTTTTAAAAAATCCAATGTAGTATCAAACTCAAAGAAATGATAAACAATTCTGAAAAAGTAGATGGCACATCAAATGATTGGACAGAATTTAAAAAAAGCAAAGAATTACTAAAAGATTAATAAGGAGGGAAAAGTCAGAGTATGAGAGAAAGTTAGCCAAAAATATAAAAACAAGTAAGTTTTTTTTTCAGCTATTTCAAAAAGAAAAGAGTTAGCAAAGTAAGTATTGGTCCTAGAGAATATGAGTCTGGTGGTGAGGTGGTTGGCTCGCTGAGCTGGTTTGTTGTTCCGCAGATGTTTCATTACCCTGCTGGGTAACATCTTCAGTGCGGCCTCCGATGAAGTGCTGTTGTATTTTCCCGCCTATTATTTAAACTCTGGTGTCCGTTGAGGTGGATTACCTCACTTCCAGTTTTCCTTCGCAATAGAGTATATACGGGGTCTAGCTCTATGGGTTTATTGATGGCTTTCTTAGTGGAGAACCAGGTTTTTAATCAAGGAAATTAATCACAAGGGTAGATGAACATCAACTGACAACAAAAAAGACATGACCAATACTCACTCGTCTCCATCCACATGGATAAAGAAAACCACCAATTCGATTGGGGCAACATCAGGATCCTGGGACAGGCAAAGCAGAGACAAGCGCAGGAATTCCACTAAGAAAGCCATCAATAAACACATAGAGCTAGACCCCATAAACACTCTATGGTGAAGGAAAACTGGAAGTGAGGTAATCCAGCTCAACAGACGCCTGAGTTTAAATAACAGGCGGGAAAACACAACAGTGCTTCATCGGAGGCTGCACTGATGAGGTTACCCAGCAGGGTAATGAAACGTCTGCGAAACAACGAACCAGTTCAGCGAGCCAACAACCACAACATCCACAACCCTAGCTACAAATCTTAATGAGTCTGGTGAATTAACAGTGGTGGATGGCGGATGAATTGAACAGCTATTTTGCCTTGGTTTCCACTACAGAAAACACAAATAGCATCCTGAAAATAGCAGTAAATCAGGAACTGAAATAGAGTAAGGAACTCAAGAAAATCACATTTACCATGGAAGTAGTGCTGAGTAAGTTTTTGGAACTGCAATTTGGCAGGTCCCTAGGTCCTGATGAATTTCATTCTTAGGTCTTAAAAGAATTAGCCAGTAAATAGTTGATGCTTTGGTTTAAATTGTACAAAATTAATTAGATACAGGAAAGGTTCATTTTACATTGGAAAATAACTAATGTGACTCCTTTGTTCAAATAGGAAAGGAGGCAGAAAGCAGTTAACTACAGGCTAATTAGCTTAACATGACTCCTGAATTTAAAAACCAGGTGGGAAAACACACCGGCACTTCATTGGAGGCTGCACTGATGATGTTACCCAGCAGTGTAACGAAATGTCTGCGGAACAACAAACCAGCTCGGCGAGTCAACCAATCTCAATAGCTTAACATTTGTCATAGGGAAAATGTTAGAAGCTATTATTAAAAATATTATAACAGGGCACTTGGATAAGTTCAAAGTAATCGGGCAGAGCTCACATGGTTTTGTCAAAAGGAAATCACGTTTAACTAATTTGTTCGAGTTCTTTGAAGAAGTAACTTGGGCTGTAAATAAAAGGGAACCAGCTGATGCATTGTATTTGCATATCCAAAAGGCATTTCATAAGGCACCACATCAAAGATTATTGTGCAAAATAAAAGCTGCTGGTGTAGGGGGATAATGTTAGCGTAGTTCAAAGATAATAGAAAGCAAAGAGTAGGAACAAGGAAGGTCTTTATCAGGTTGGCAGAATGTCACTAATGGTGTGCCACAAGTGTCAGTACTGCGGCCTCAAGTCTTCTCGATTTATATAAGTTATTTGGATGAAGATAGCTAAATTTGCTGATAATCAATGATAACTGGGAAAGTGAGTTGTGAAGAAAACATAAGCTTACAAAGGGATATTGATAGGTTAAGTGAGTGAGCAAAGATCTTGCAAATGGATTATGAAGTGGGAAAGTGTGAAATTGTCCATTTTGGCAGGAGGAATAAACAAAAGCATGTTATCTAAATGGTGAGAGGTTGCAGAGATCTGAGATGCAGAAAGATCTGGGTGTCCAGTGCATGAATCACAAAAAGTTAGTATGCAGGTACAGCAAGTAATCAGGAAGGCTAACAGAATGTCATGGTTTACAATGAGGAGAATTTGATGCAGCAGTAGGGAGGTTATGGGTCAGTTGTGTCTGGAGTACTGTGTACAGTACTGGCCACCAAACATATGGAAAGACGTTGATGTGTTGGAAGCAGTTCAGAGAAGGTTTACTAGACAAAGACCTGGAGTGAGTTGAAGGGTAGACAGGCTAGGACTGTATCCACTGGGGTGACTTAATTGAAACATGCAAGATCCTAAGGGGACTTGACTGGATAGATGTTGAAAGGTGGAGTATGAAGTATTAGATGCAGTGCAAATAAATAGAGAAATGGAAATTTTTTTAAAAATCCATTTTGGGGAGATAGACATCGCTGGCAATCATTGCCTGTCATTAGGCTCTTTGAGGAGGTAGTAGCAAGCTTGCCTTTCTAACCACAACAATGCTGCAGTGAAGGCATTTCTACAATGCTTTGAGGAGCTCCACAATTTTTAACCAGTTACTGTGATGTGAAATGACAAATCTCATAATGTTAATCACAGGTGGATTTCTTTTATTTTTTTCATTCATTGATTCTGAGAAATAAGTGCAGCTCACTGGAGGGTGAAATTATCCTATTTGTGTCAGTTAACCTTTGATGTTCTTATGTATCTCATAGATGCTGATAGAAAGGTATTAATAGAAAGCTGTAATCGTGTCACCTGCAAGCCTTCTAAGTATCTTTCATTTATGGTAGCAGTAAAATAAGAAACAAATATGAATACCTAAGTCCGATATCCCCATGTATTCTAAGCCAGGGTGGTATTTGGATGACCTAAACTGGTAGAGACATTTTTTTTTTCCCCTAAATGTTGTGTTAAAGTAGAGGATTTATTTCTTCAAAATGAAACTACTTTGACAGGTGTGGGAACCAAGAAAGGATAGTGAAAGACAACACCAGGGTTTGTAAAATACTTAGGGATACAGCCGGCAATAATATAGAGAATAGTAAGTTAGTAGGTGAAGTTGTAGGGGTTTAAAAAAAGAAAGTCCAAAACCGAGATTGTGGGGTACAAGTAAATGAGATTTGGCAATTGCAGGCACAGATTACAATTTGCAATTATAATGTTTTGGTGATGACAGACACCTAGCCTGAGGAAGAGCGAGAGTGGGTGTTAAAGATTCCTGGGTAGAAGTTGTTCAGCAAAGATAGAAAAGGAAAGAAAGGAGGAGGGGTTGCAGAATGGCTAAGGAGGGTATTGCAGTGCTGGAGAAGGAAGATGTTTCAAAGGATTGAAGGACATAGACAATTTGGCCAGAGCAATGAAATAATAAGTATTTAATTATATTGCTTGGTGTAGTCATTGACCACCAACTTGTGGAAAGGATGTAGAGGAACAAATCTGGGGAGAGTTTACAGAGAAATGCCAACATAGAGTAAATTTCAATTATGCTAATATAGATTGAAATACTGGTAGTGTAAGGAGCAATGAAGGAAGTGTTCCTAGATTGTAATAAAGAGAGTTTCCAACAGCAGTATGTGTCCAGTTCAACAAGGAAGAATGTATTGTTTCTCTTGGTCCTTGGACATGATGTGGGCCAAGTGGATCAAGTCACAGTGGGGGAACATTTAGGACTCAGTGATCATTGTATAAGTTGGCAGATGACGTCGAAGAATGAGATGCAACAATCCAGAGTAAGAAAATTTAATTGGCGGAGAGCTGACTTTAATGGGACGAAAACACAGCTGAGCAGAATTGATTGGATTAAGGGGTTGGTGGGAAAGGCAGTAACCGAATAATGGGCCACCTTCAAAGAGCAGGTGGTTCAGGTACATTAGAGTTATATTCCCTCTAATGGTAAAGGTAGCACACAGAAATCCAGAGTTTCCTGGGAAAAAAAGGAGATAGAATTTAAAATTAGAAAGAAAAAAATGTGCCTAAGATGATGTAAGGCAGAAATGCAATTTAGGCGTCTAAACTTTAAAACAATGGTCGAAGGAGGAGTAGGGCTGATCAGAGACCAAAAGGGGTTTTATACATGGTGGCAGGGCCAGAGCTGAGGTGTTAAATGATTATTTTGCATTCGTCTTTATAAAAGAAGAGGTCGTTTTCCAGGCCATTGTGACAGAGAAGGAAACTGTCTCTAGAAGGATTCAGAATTAATAAGGAAGCACACTTGCATAGACTGTTGGTATTTAAAGTTGAGAAGAACGCAGAACTGGGAGAGATGCATCCAAGAATTTTGAAGGAAGCAAGGGTAGAAATTGTAGGCGCACTGGGCATAATCTTTCAGTCTCTCCTGAACATAGAGTAGGAGCCAGAAGATTGGGAATGGCTAACATTATGGCTTTTTCCAAGAGAGATTGTGAGGAAATTTCCAGCATTCACAAACCTGTCAGTTTAACTTTGGTGATGGGAAACTTCTAGAAACAGTAATTCGATTTAGAATTAGTAATCACTTGAAAAACTTTGAGATGCATTGAGGGAGGCAAGGGAACAAATTGCTGGAGTATTGACAGACACCGTTGTATCCTCTTTGGCCACAGGTGAGGTCCCAGAGGGCTGGAGAATAGCCAATGTTGTTCCATTGTTTAAGAAGAGTAGCAGGGATAATCCTGGAAATTACCGACCTGTGGGCCTCATGTTGTTAGTAGGGAAATTATTGGAAAAGATTCTCAGGGACAAGATGTATAAGCATTTATAAGCAAATGGACTTATTAGCAATAGACAGCATGGTTTTGTGCAGGGGAGGACATGCCTCACTAACTTGATCGAGTTTTTTGAGGAGGTGACGAAGATGATTGATGAGGGAAAAGCCGTTGATATTGTATACATGGACCTCAGTAAAGCCTCTGACGAAGTCCCTCCTGGCAGATTCGTACAAAGGGTGAAGTCACATGGTATCAGAAGCGAGCTGGCAAGGTGGATACAGAATTGGCTTAGTCATAGGAGACAGAAGATAGCAGTGGAAGGATGCTTTTTGGAATGAAGAGTTGTGACACAGGGATCAGTGTTGGGATCTCCGCTGCCCATGGTCTACACAAATGGTTTGGAAGAAAACGTGGTTGGTCTAATTAGTACGTTTGTGGACGATACAAAGATTGGTGGAGTTACGGATAGTGAAGAGGGTTGTCAGAGGGTACAGCAGGATATAGATCAGTTGGAGTCATGGGCAGAAATATGGCAGACAGAGTTTAATCTGGACAAATGTGAGCTGATGCATTTTGGAAGGTCAAGTACAGGTGGAAATTATACAGTGAATGGCAGAACCCTTAGGAGTATTGATATGTAGAGGGATCTGGGTGTACAGGTCCACAGATCACTGAAGGTGGCAGTGCAGGTAGATAAGGTAGTAAAAAAGGTCTTTGGCATGCTCGCCTTCATTGGAAGGGGCACTGATTATAAGGATAAACAAGTTATGCTGCACCTTTCTAAAACTTTAGTTAGGCCACACTTGGAAATTACATACAGTTCTGGTCACCACACTACCAGAACGATGTGGATGCTTTGGAGAGGGTACAGAAAAGGTTTACCAGGATGTTGCCTGGTATGGGGGATTTTAGTTATGAAGAAAGGGTGGTTTGTTTTCACTGGAACACAGGAGTTGAGGGGCGACCTGAGAAGTTTAGAAGATTGTGAATGGCAATGGATAGAGTGGAAAGTATGAAGCTTTTTCCAGGGTGGAGGGGTCAATTACTAGGGGACACAGGTTCAAGGTGCGAGGGGGTGAAATTTAAAAGAGACAGTGAGGCAAGCTTTCACACAAAGGGTAGTGAGGGCCTGGAATACGCTATCAGAGGAGGTGGTGGAAGCAGACACAATAGCAGCTTTCAAGAAGCACCTGGACGAACACATGAATAGGAATGGAATAGAGGGCTACTGATCCTGTAAGTAAAGACAGTTTTGGTATGGAAGGGCAAAATGTGGTGGTGCAGGCTTGGAAGGCTGAATGGCCTGTTCCTGTGCTACATTGTTCTCTGTTGTTCTTATTGGTCATAGAATAAAAGGGACAGTAGCAAGGTGGATATAAAATTTGTCAATGGATATGTTTCAAGCTGAAAAAGAAGCTTTGTAGTGGAGATCCCTATCATGCTGGTGTTGTGACCTTTGCTTTTCCTGATAATATATTAATGCTCTGGATCTTACTGCGCAGGGGAAAATTTCAAAGTTTGCAGATGACACTAAACCTGGAAGAGTTATAAGTGGTAGAGAGGACAGTGTGGAACTCCAAAAGGACATTGATAAATTTGGTGGAGTGGGTGGACAAGTCATAGATCAAATTCAGTAGAAGTTTCATAATGCTGTGAAGTGACAGGTGATGCAGTTTTGTCAGAAGAATATTGGAAGATAGTATGAAATAGGGTTTACAATTAAAAAGGTAATGCAAGAGCCAAGGGACTTGCATGTATATGTGCTCAGATCATTCAAGGTGGCACGGCAGGTGGAGAGAGTAGCTAATAAAACATTAGTATAGCTTTAACAAGAGCAGGGAGGTGATATTGAATTTGCACAAGACACTTCTTAGAGCTCAGCTGGAGTTTTGTGTTCAGTTATGGACATTGCATTATAGGAAAGATGTGAATGCATTGGAGAGAGGACAGAGCAATTTACAAGAATGATTCCAGGATTGAGAAACTTCAGTTATGAGGGTAGATTGAAGAGTTTAGGACTGTTTTCCTTGAAGAGGAGGCTGAGTGAAGACTTATAAGATTTCAAAGTCATGAGAGGGCTCGACAGAGTAGACAAGGAAAAGCTATTCCCACTCATGAAAGAGAAAAGGTCAAGGGGGCATAAAGTGATGTGCAAATGAACCAAAGATGTTGTGAGGGGAAAAAAAAAAATTCACGTAGCAAGTAGTCAGGGTATGGAATGCACTGACTGGAAATGTCAACTAAGTCGGTACAGTTGAAGCATTCAAGAGGGCATTGGATGTTTATTTGTATAGAAATGGTGTGCCTCAAAAAGGGGAACAGGGAGGAGATTAAAATGAGGTAGTAGAACTAGCACATGCATGATGAGCCAAATGGCTTCCTTCTGAGCCATAATCATAAGACCATAAGATACAGGAGCAGAATTAGGCATTCGGCCCATGGAGTCTGCTCCACACACACACAACAACAACAACAACAGCAACAATAACAACAACAAAAACAAAGTTGGTGGAAAAGCTCAGCAGGTCTGGCAGCATCTATGGAGGAGAAAACAGAGTTAACGTTTCGGGTCCGGTGACCCTTCTTCAGTCTGCTCCGCCATTCGATCATGGCTGATATGTTTCTCAATCCCATTCTCCTGCCTTCTCCCATAGCCCTTGATCCCTTATTAATCAAGAACAATCTACTTCTGTCTTCAATATTCTCGATGAATTGGCCTCCATTGCCTTCTGTGGCAATAAGTTCCACATTTTCACCAACTTCTGGCTGAAGAAATCCCTCCTCTTCTTAGTTGTCCCTTCACTCTGAGGGTGTGCCGTCAGGTCCTAGTCTCTTCTACTCGTGGAAACATGTTTTCCACATCCACTCTATTCGGGCCTGTCAGTATTGTGTAACTTTCAATGAGATCACTGGATCACTGCTGCCCACGCCACTGCTAAAAGACTCTGACGATGTTATTTTATATTACCCTCATTACTCATCCCAACCCCCCTCCCCCCCCCCATTGCTTTTATAGTTATCCTCTGCTAGTTTTAAAGGCTTCCCAATCCTCTGGCTTCCCATTAACCTTTACCACATGGTTTACTTTTTCTTCTGCTTTTATGCTGTCCCTGACTTTCCTTGTCAGCAACGTTGCCTTGTCCTCTCCCTAGTATGTTTCTTCTTTCTTGGGATGAATTTCTGCTGTGCCTCGAAATTACTCCCCAGAAACTCCTGCCATTGCTACTCCACCATTTTCTCAGGTAGGCTCCCCTTCCAATCAACTTTGGCCAGCTACTTCCATCATGTCTTTGTAGTTACTGTTACTCAATTGTTATATCATTACATCTGATTCAAGCTTCCCCCTCTCAGACTATTATGGGCACTGCCCATTAGGGGTTCCTTTGCCTTAAGCTCCCTAATCAAGTCTGCTTCATTACATATCATCAAATCCAGAATTCTTAAGTAGGCTCTACCACAGGCTGCTCCAAAAAAAATCTTGTAACAAACCTGTGATCATGGGGATGAATAAGAAAAGATATACTGAGCTTTGATTAAACCTCACTATAGCTGGAAACTTTTTGTATAGACTTGTTGTTATATTACAGTTTCCTTGCTTCTCAATTTAAAGCTATATTTCCTTCCAATATTGCATTGGATAAACTCTATGTCTATCTGATGGATTTACATTTAAAGCGTCTCAGAACATTTGTTATTTTCTTCTTTCCAATAGGTAATATATGATTTGGAAAAAGAAAAGATAAGGCTGCTATGTGACATTTTAAATAAATACAGTGAACATGTCACTTGTTTTGGAAGAACACTCATAGAAGTAAGAGCTGTACCATCAGTATACTTCCATTCTTATATTTATATAAATAATATTAAGTAACATGCATATGGATTTGTAAATTTTGTGTTTATGTAATGGAATAAAATATCTTTATGTTTAGCGTCAAAGTCAAATTCATGAAGCTGTACAAAATGTTAATGTTGAGGAAGATATTCAGATATTGTTGGACCACACATCCATTTTATCAGATGAAAACAAAACAGAATTTCTGCTTACAGATTATTATGTAAGTATATATTTAAATTTAACGTTAATAAATACTGCACTGAATTACCAAACTTTCGGAGGGAGAATCTAGTCAAGTTAGTCTAACTTCCGTCATTGGGAAAATGCTAGCGTCCATTATTAAGGAAGAAATACCAGGCCATTTGGAAATACAATATCACAATCAAACATTGTCAACGTGGTTTTGTGACAGGAAAATTATGTTTGACAGATTTGCTAGAGTTCTTTGAGGATATAAGGAGTAGAGTTATTAAGGGAAACTGGTAGATGTAATGTATTTGTATTTTCAGTAGGCATTCGATTTAAAAAGGTTTTTGTACAAGCTAGGAGCTGACTGTGATGTGTTTAATATATTAGCATGGATTGAGAAAATTCTGGATTCTTTACAAGTAGGAAAGACATAGTTAGTGAAGTGTCACAAGGACTAGTCTTAGGGCCTCAATTTACTATTTATGTTAATGACTTGGAGGAGAGGGCAGATTGTAGAACTATCCATATCCTCTGATAATAAAAATATAATGGAGGGCACATTGTGATGAAGAATGGAGGAATCTGCAACACAATAAAGATAAGTTGAGTGAATGGTCAAAAGCTTGGCAGACGGTATCTACTAGCAAAGTACAAGATCACACACTTTTGCAGGAATATTCAAACAGCAGACTATTACTGAAATGGAGAGTGGCTTCAAAACAGTGTAGCGCAGAGGAATCTGAGTCTTCCAGTGCATGAAGCATAAAAAGTTAGCATGTAGAGGCAGCAAGTTGTTAAGTTTTGGCCTTTATTGCTAAGGGCTGGAGTTTTAAAAATAGGGATGTCACATTACAACTGTATACGATGTTGTTGAAGCCAACCCCTGAAGTATTATGTAGCTTTGTTCTCTGGATTTAAGAAAGGATGTACAGGCATTAGAGACAGTTCATCAGAGATTCACGAGGCTGATTCCTGGATTGAGGGGGTTGTCTTAATAGGCCTTTATTCATTAGTGTTTAGAAGAATGAGGCGTTATATTATTAAAACATACAAGATTCTGAGAGGGCTTGACTGGGTCGACGTAGAGATATTCCCACTAATGGGAACTAGAGTAAAGAATAAAGGACACAATTTAAAACTGTGATGCAAAGGAATCTCTTCTACCAGAGGGTAGTGAATGGTATGGAATTCTCTACTGCAGAAAGTTATGGAGGCTAAATCAATGAAAGTAATTTGAAGAGAATGTAGACAGATTTTTGAACTGTTGGAGAGTTGGGGGCTGTGAAGAGCTGGCATGAAAGAGAAGTTGATGCTGAGGGAGATCGGTCATGATCTTGTTATGCTAGGGAGACTTGAGAGGCCTAAAGGCCTCCTTCTATGTTCTTATATACTTCTGTATCTTATGTCCTTACATAAAAGTAAAAAGTATGCAAGCAAATGTTTAAAATAATGTTGACAAGGGTCAGAATATAATAGATAACAGAAGTGTTGGAAAACATTCAACATGCCAATTAGCAGTAGAAAGATATTTAAATTGGAAGCCTTTGTCCATATTTTTACTGCACACTTGATTTCAAAATCTGCAATCAGAATTTAAGGCTGAACATAAACCAGAGATTTGAAGGGACATTTGAAACAAAAACACAACCAAGTGCAGTCTGTTGTGCTTCTGATAAGAGTAGTGACTGTACATCTTCTGCTGTTAGCTTCCTTTGGATTGTCCTGAGCTAGTAAGATGTGAGTATATCTTTCTCCTTATAACAGGAAGAAGATGGTAGGAACACAATGGATAAGGAAAGAAGGAAGACTGCACTAGCACAGAAACTACAAAGACTCCAAGATGCTATAAACAAAGTAAATAAGGACAAAGAAGGTTGGATTCCACTTTAAGTTTTCTCTAACGAGACAGAACCTGGCTTAACATGAATAATTGAGCTATAAAACTCTAGTAACAATAAATATTCTGATTGCTTTCTCAGGATTAGAGAAGATGATCAGTACAAGTTACAAAAGTCCATCATTTTCAGATCCACAGACTGAAGAAAAAACTGTATCAATGCGAGATGAGGTATAACTCCCTATCATGTCAATGTTTAGATTAAGTTAGACTAAAGAACTGTGAGACTTAAGAGTGAATAACAACATTGGAAAATCTGCCTGTATGTAAATGAATCAGATGTAGGCTGCCTTGTAATTACAAGAAAAATTCTCTTTTGAACAAATAAGCCCAAAATGTCCAGTTATGGATCAGATTTAATGTTGGATCCTGTTTCACTTGTTTCTCATGACATTACTCCCTTAAAACCTAATCATTCTAACTAACTCTGCAGTGAAACAGAGTCGTAGCACCTCTTTCAGGAAGACTTAGCCACTTCACTTCTGTGAGCCCTATAACATACCACCAGGAGGCCATTTGTCCAACAGGGTCTGCATCAGCTCTTTTGAAGAGCTACCCAGTTAGTTCCATTTCCCAACTTTTTTCTCACTCAATATTTAATTTTCCCTTTATATATTTATTACAAAACTTATAATCAGCAGCCAATCTGGCATTGTACTCCAAATCCTAACCATTCATGTAACCATTTTTTTCTCATGTTTGTTTCTTTTACCAATTATCATGTATATAATTTTAAATATAAGGCATCTTTTTATTCAGCTGTAGGAAACTTTTATTTTCCTTTTTATTTTCTCTATCAAGATATTGCTAGATTTCAAAATGTCTATCAAAACTCCCCTTCACCTTCTCTGCTGTAAGAACACCAACTTTTCCAATCTATGTAACTGTAATCTTTCGCCCTGGAACCGTTCTCGTAAATCTCTTCTGGCTGTACCTCCTTCATACAATGTGGTGTTCGGGATCAGACACCTTTCTCAACCTGCAGCCGAAGTAGTATTTTTTGTATTGTTTTTAGCAGAACTTCTTGTCCTTTGCATGAATACCTCCATTAACAAAGTCCAGGATCCCATAAACTTTATTATTTAATTTGTCAGACTTGATCTGCCACTTTCAAAGATATGTATCCAAACATCTCCAGGTTTTTGCTTTACATCAAAATGTGCCAGTTTCTATTGTCTCTCCTCATTCTGCTTATCAAAGTGTATTATTGCATACTTTTCTATGTTGAATTTCATGTTATGTCTGCCAGTTCCACCAACCTAACTACATTCTCCTGAAAATTGTGCCAAAGTCCAGATCATCAATGTATATAGAAAGAACAATAATTCAAACTGAGTCCAGGGGAGTGGCATTATATATCTCCCTTCAGTTCAAAAAACCTACCCTACACTGCAATTGTATATTGACAAGTGATATTGGGAATGTATGCTGAATTTAGAAAGTAGCATTGTCACATAAATTTAGAGATCAGAAAATGAGAAAATGTCGAGCTATCATTGTATATCTTTTTCTCCCATTTTAAGAATTGTAATATAATTTCTGTTCCTAGGCATCTCTAAAACTAATTCTCTTGGAATTAAATTACTACAAACTCTCATCAACTATGGCAGAACTGGAAGGAAATCCCAAACCTTCTCATCCACTAAGTGAAAACATCATTAAATGGAAAGATAAGGTGCATCCAAAGTTTATGTTAACAGCACTGTACTTGGAAATTCAGAGTATTTGTGTTCTACTTTCTCTATTTATCAAGGTTATACTGTTACATCATTCTGTTAGTTTTTATCTTTGTATTAGTTCTTTTGACAAATGGATTGAAAAAAGTGAATCTTAGATTCATATAATTTGTAAAATAATTGGTTATTCAGTACAATTTACTAAGCTACAAATACATTTTAGTTTGATGGAATAGTCAAAGTTGTTAAATCAGAGTGTGATTATTTGAATTTTCTTCTGGCATTAAATTTCTATTTCGCTCATACATTTTTAAGCACAAGAAATGAGTTAATTATCAGGAATAATCTGTAAAACACTATAAATGTATAATTAAAGAATGCTAGGACTCGTGCCATTTACAACATATACAAATCAGTTGGAGCCTGGGATGGAAACCAGCCTAAGCTTGAAGATGCCATTCATTTGGGAATGAGGGTTTCAAACAATGGGAAAGAGGCAAAGTAGAAACAAAAGAATTGCTTTAGTTTTGTGTCTTAGAAGATTGCATTGCTTGGGGGTACAAATAGGTGGTGGAGGGCAGTGGGAAGATTTCATCCATGAGAATCTGGCATCATGGTGTAAATTGAGTTTGATGGACTAGCTGACCTTTTCCTGTATGTCAGTTCAGGGGCTGAATTTTGTAGTATCCCAACCAGCTGTGTTTGTAGCAAGGGATAGTTGGTGGGGTGGGGGGGTCAAGCCTACCCCAGCCGGCTTCCTTGATATGGAGGGGCAGTAGTGCTAAGGCACCCACGAACCAACCTTAGGCCGTTGAGTACTTTATGTGGCCATTTACTATCTTCTTAATGACCATATCTCTTCAAGTTATATTGACACTCTAATAGTGAGAAGAACACAACTGGATGGTAACACCAGAATCCTATCAATACAAAGTGATCACATTTCTGGAGACAGTTACTTTCATGCAGTTATTGTTCCTAGCACCTGATATTGGTATCCAAGATATGTTGGGAAGTTGCAAAGATTCTTTCTGGTTGTTTAGGGACCATAATCATCACATAACCCAGTACTTACTGAGTAGAGAACTTTACTCCTCATACATACTTTGATTTCATAAAGATATTGTGAGAACAGTGCATTTAAACCTAAAGTAATCCTACTGAATACAGTTGGGTTGCATAATAATCATCAAAATGTGACATTTCACACAGTTCTTCAGTTGATATAATAACTTTTAATTTGGCAGGAACATCATCACAGTTTGGTGCAGGTATTGCGTCCTATGAAGATGAAAAATGTGCAGTGTCACAGAACTTTAAACTCTGTATCATCAGATAGCTGGAGAAAGCACCACAAACACAGCCCTCAGCAGACATCTGAAGTCATATACATCAATCATACAATTCATTCAAATCATTCAGAGTCAGGAATGGAACGATCAGAGGTGGATGCAAACTCAGCTGACAATGGTAATTTAAGTGAACAAAATAATTTTAGTCTAAAAATGAGCTTTTTTATGTGTTGTGCAAACTGTTGGGAATATTACTGATTATACATATTGCCAAAACTTCTGCCCTTGCACTCAACTGGGCAAAAACAAGAATGCCAGAAAGCAAACAATGACAATAATTTATATTACAAGGAGAAGAGTGCTGTCATTGACAGTTGGTTCTGATCAGCTACCCAAACAGAGAATGACATCTAACAGTAAACAACAGATACTGAATAATCCTGAGTATATTCATGCCCCACTAACAAACAATTCAAGATCGCCAGTTAAACTTGTAATTGCGGTTTCTACAAGTGATAGTCATTCCTAATGAGAGACCTGTTTTTCTGCATACACAAGAATATGTTCACACCTTTGTCTTTTTGAATTAATTAGGAACAGGGGGAGTGTGTATTTTCCCATTGCTTTCTCCATGGTGTTAGGTGATGAGCTAAACAAATAAAATAATTCTTTCACTCCATTATAAGTTCAGAAAGGGGGATGTTTGCCAATGATTGCACAAAGTTTAGCACCATTCATGACTCCTCAACCACTGAAACAGTTCATGTTCAAATGCAACAAGATCTGGACAATATCCAGGCTTGGGGTGACAAGTGCCAAGTAACATTCGCACCACATGTATACTAGGCAATGACCATCTCTTATAAGAGACAATATAATTAACCACTCCTTGATATTCAGTAGCATTACCATCTCTGAATCCCCCACTATCAATATCCTGGGGGTTGCCATTGACCAGAAACTCGGTTGGACTCGCTCGTAAACACAGTGGCTATAAGACCTGGTCAGAAGTAAGGAGTATTGTGGGGAATAACTCACCTGACTCTCCAAAGTCTATCTTCCATCTACAAGACACAGTCAGGAATGATGGAATACTCCCCCACTTGTCTGGATGGGTGCAGTTCCAACTACACTCAAAAAAGCTTGACACAATCCAGGACAATGCAGCCTGTTTGATTGGCACCACATTCACAAGCATCCCTCTCCTGCCAATGCTCAGTAGCAGCCGTGTGTACTATCTGCAAGATACACTGCAGGAATTCATCAAAGATCCTTAGATAGTGCCTTCCAAACCCATGACCACTTCCATCTAGAAGAACAAGGGGAACAAATACATGTGAACACTATCACCTGCAAATTCCCCTCCAAGCCACTCACCATCCTGAATTGGAAATATATCACTGTTTCTTCACGGTTGCTGGGTCAAAACCCTGGAATTCCTTCCCTAAGGGATTATGGGTCTACCTAATGAATGTGGACAGTAGCTCACCACCACCTTCTCAAGGGCAACTAGGTACAGGCAATAAATGTTCGCCAGCCAGCAATACTCATGTCCCATGAGTGAATAAAAAAAGAGTTGCCATGTACACAGTGACCACAGCTAATTATATGGTTTCACTTATTGAACCATCCTCACTTTAGAACACATTTATTCAATATGGTAGCAAATGACAGTCCTCTGTATAGGTCTGTAAAATATCACCTTCATAGCTCTTACGAACATATCCAGTTAAAAGATCCTACCTGACTGTGTTCAGTGTTTAAAAGAAAGCATTAAAATACCATTAGATATTTGCACAAGATACAGAATCAGAAACTCTCAACTGTTCCATGGGAGTTGCGTGTTCAGTATATCATCACAACCTTTGCACTTACCTGTTAATTGTCAGCCTTACTTGTAGAGGTGAAGGGGCAGTCAATGAGAAACAAATGGAAACAGTTGCAAACATGCCTCCCATTCAGTCAGTGTCACAAAAGTGTTCATAAAATACAATTTGGGGCTATTGTGGCACAGTGGCAGTGTCTCTATCTCTGGGCCAGTAGGTCCAAGTTCAACTTGCCTCTGCTACAGAGCTAAGTCATAACATGTCAAATTAAAAATACTTGTGGTGAGAGTTTAATTCTCAACATTTATACTGGGTGGAATTTTCTGAGATTCAACACCAGGAGGACCTCAAATAAGAGGTGCACTGCTGTGATTTTCTGTAAGTTGCATGCTACCTTTGAGACCCTTTGTTATTAAAATTATGAAACTTCCTTTATATTCAGAGATGCCTGGTCAAGGCACAACCAACTTTAAACTAATTGTTTTGATTTTTTAAAAAAAAAGTTACATCACTGGATGTGGCTATGTCTAGCTAGGCCAGCATTTGTTACCTACCTCTAATTGTAATCAAGAAGTTGGTGATAAGGCTCAATTGTGAACTACTCCAATTCATGTGGTGTAAGTACACTCACAGTGCTACTAGGGAGTTCCATAATTTTGACCTACTGACATTAAGGGGATGTTTAAGATGATGGTTGGTTGGCCCTTCAAATGGCCTTTGACACGCATCATGTTGAGCTTCTTGAGTGTTGGGGAGCTACACCTATCTTGGCAAGTGGAGAATATTATATCACATTTCATACTTGTGCCTTACAGATTGTAGACAGGCTTTGGGGAGTCGGGGCGAGTTAGTCTCCACAAGATTTCCAGCCTCTGACTTGTTGTTGCAGTCATAGTAGAAGCTGCTCCTGTTTAGTTTCTGGTCAGTGGGAGTAGATTCATTCTCTTGTTGAAAATGGTCCATTTGTCTGTGCAACTGCTACTTGCCACTAATCAGCCTAAGCCTGCAATGTTGTTCCAAGACTTGCTGAATATGAACATGCACTGTATCAGTATCTGATGACTGCACATTCATTTAGTATTTGTTCATAGATTATCTTATAAATTGATTTCATAACATTTAAAAGATTCTTATTTAATTCTGCAGTAACCAGTCCTATTGAGGAGATTGGAACATGTAAAGCTCTATATGATTATCACGCTGCCAGAGATGATGAACTTAACATGAAACAGGGTAAGGACTTGCATCAGTAGTATTTTGCTAAGATGAGCAAGTTTCTACAATTTTTCGGGATGATTGCACCACCTCTCAATTAGACTGAGAAAAGCCACAGCAGCTTTTGGAAAAAAAAAAGTCATTCAAGGGATATGGATGTTGCAGGTTAGACCAACATTTATTGCCCATTCCTAATTACCATCAAAGATTGTGGTGAGCTGCATTCTTGAACCACTGCAGTTCATGTGGAATAGGTACTAGTATACGGTCATAGTGCTATTAGGGAGCGAAGTCCAGGATTTTGACGTAGTGAAGGAGTGGTGCTCCCATCTATCTGTTGCCTTGTGTTTCTGAGGGTACGGGTTGAGGGTTTAGAAGGTGCTGTCAGTGCAGCCTTGACAAATTTTTAGAGTGCATCTTGTGGATGAAATACACTGTTGCTAGTATGAGTCAGTGATGGAGTGAGTGAATAGTGAACTCTTTGGATATGATGCAGATTATTCATAATTTATCATACCTAATTTAGCTAGTTGATCACAATTAATGCAATAATTGAAGTGAGACTGCTCGACAACAACTGTTACTTTCAGAAATCAGTAACCAGAAAATGTCATACTCTTGGACACATTTTGACTTTCCATTTCTTTTCCCACTGTAGGTGATATACTTACTATTCACAAAAAGGATGCAACTGGATGGTGGTTTGGCAGTTTGCAAGGAACAAAGGGCATTTTCCCAGCTACATATGTAGAGGAATTACCCCAAATAGGAAAAGTCAAATCAACAGAAGCATAAACTAGTTCAGACTGTACATGTCACTGATTTTTGGATGAAAATAGGGTGATTTGGAAAACTTCTGACAAGAGTTGTAGTGTTTTAATACAATCCTGCAAACTTGAATTCATTTTGATTATAAAATCTAATACAAGTTTTGGACAAGAACTTGTTTTATGTTAACTGTGCTAATGTAATTTCTGCTTGTGAACTGAAAAGCAAACACTTTAATAGCCACAATTTACTGCAGCCAGCAAATAGATTTACTTTCTCAAAACTCTTTTGTAGGGTTGCTATGTGTGCGCGAGAGAACAGTGCCTTCTACAGGCTTTCTGGGGCCTGTAATGAGGGCACACAACTATCTCTTTCATCAAATTGAAGGATAGAATACTGCAGTCTGGACTAGAAGAAATTACGTTAGAATAACGCAATAAATTTTTTAAAAAGGTACTAAAAGTGAAAGAAACGGTTTAAAAAGTTTGGCTTGAGAGAATCAAGTCAAAGAAAAAATCTGATCTAAAGGAATTAGACAACTGTAAAATAGTGTCAGTAATTAAGACTGATCGTGCCATTAAAAACGAAACATAGTCTGAAACTTTGTGGCAAGGTTAATTTGTATTTGCCATGTGAGTGTAGGAAAGTCATACCATTTGATGCACTTGAATGGGGGAGCAGACAACAAGATGTTATTTTGAGCAGCACGCTGAGGACAGCACATCTTCAATTTTCATGTTTTAACTGTTTCTATGCTTAGTTAAAGTTGCTGTTCAAATCATGCATAAATGCTAGCTTCAGTTACTTTTATAGAAAATAATGACCCATTAGTGTTTATACACTGTATTCACAAACCCATGCTTTTTGAGACAAATCACCAATAGGCAAAGTACACCTTTGATCGTTCAGAACATGTAAACATTACGGCTCAGAAGGAGGCACATTGTGCCTGCACGAATTCTATTACCTAATTACAATCTCCTGCCTATCCCTCATATTGCTGGACACCATTTCTATCCAAATAACCATGCCTTCATCACATTGCAAGCAACGCTTACCATATCCTGACTACTTGCTGTGCGAGAGTTTTTGTTCCCCTGGATGACCCTTACTTCATTTGTACCTCACTAAATCTATTTCCCTCTCCATTCCTTTCTCTTTTACAAAGGGGAACAACAACTTATTTACTCTATCCAACCTGCTTTTGATTTTGTAAACTCTATCAAATCTCCTCTTAGTCTTCTTCTCTCCAAAGAGAACAGCTCTAAACCTATTTATTGGAACTACTCCTGTGCGTCACTTCTGCACTCTCTCCAATGCATTCACATCACTTCCTGTTCTTTATTCTATGCACCTGTTAATAAAGCCAAGTACACTGTATGCCTTATTAACTGCTTTCTCTCCCCCGACCTGCCACCTTGAATGATCTGAACACATATACGGCCAGGACCCCCTATTACTGCACTCATTTTATGTTATCTTTCAATGTTCTTCTGACCAAAGTGCATCACCTCACACTTCTCTGCATTGCATCTCATCTGCCACCTATCTGCTCATTCCACTTACCTGTCAATGTCATTTTGGAGTTCCACACTGTCCTCACCATTTATATGTCTTCCAAGTTTAGTATCATCGAAAAATTTGCACACCAAGATCCACAGCACTAATATATATTAGGAAAAGCAAGGTTTCAATACCTACCCTTGGAGAAATCCACAAATCTTCTGGCCTAAAATATAACTATTGACTATTACTGTTCCTGATCACTTAACACACGCAATTACTGTTGTCCCTTTTATTTTCCTTACAGTGCCACATAACAAACTTGTATCAAACTTCTTCTGGAAATCCATGTATACCACCAACAGCGTTACCCGCATCAATCCTATTATCTCTTCAAAAAAAAAACCCAGAAAGTTATCATGGTTTTACTTTTAGAAATCTGTGTTGACTCTTCCTCATCAACTAACCTTTTTTCCATGTGCTCACTAATTCTATCCCAAATAACTTTCTAGAAGTTTCCTACAACTGAAATTAAAGTAACTGGTTTGTAATTGCTATGATTAACCTTACAATCTTTCTTGAACAAGGCTGTAATGTTTGCAATTCTTCAGTCTTCTTGATCGGGAAGACTGAAACACTATGTCCTGCAGTTTCTACCCTCATTTCCTTCTAAATCTGTGGATGCATCTCATCTGGTCCCAGTATCTTTGGGACTTAAAGTTGACAATGAGACAGAATGTAAAGTATTCATTTAATATTTCAGCCATGCCCCTTGCATCAGCTCTACTCCGTTAGCCATTCCTTTATTGTTTTATAGAAGACTTTAGGATTTTCGTTTGTTAACTGCTAATCTTTTCTTATAGTTTCTCTTTGCTTCTCTTGTTTGATTTTTCACCTCCTCCTGAGACCTTTGGTATTCCTGTTGATTCTACATTGCATTTTCTGTCCTACACTGGTCAAAGGAACACATTTTTCTAATGTTAATTTCTGCCTGTTTTATCATCCAGGGAATCCTGGATTTCTTTGTCCTATCTTTACCATTAGAAGGAATATACCTTGACTGTACCGGAATCATTTACACTTTGAAGGTGGTCCATTGTTCAGTTACTGTTTTCTCTTCTTATTCCAATCAATTCTGCTCAGCTCTGTTTTTGCCCCATTAAGTTAGCTCTCCACCAATTATATTTTCTTGCTCTGGATTGTTGCATGTCATTCTCCAACACCATCCTGAAACTTAGAATGATCACCATCTCCTAAATGTTCCCCAATGATACTTGATTTGGCTCATCTCATTTCCAAGGACCAGGTGTAACAATATATTCTTCGTTGTTGGACCGGATACATACTGCTGTAGGAAACTCTCCTGAATACTTGTGCCTCACTGCCCCTTCAATTACCCAAATATAGACTGGGATACTGGTAATGTAAGTCCCCCATTAAAAGTATCTCTATAATGTTGGCAATTCTCAGTAATTTCCCTGTAGATATGTTCCTTTACATACTTTCCACTTGTTGATAGTCTATAGAGCACATCAAGCAATATTTTAATTGTACCTTTATTTTGTAGCTCTGGCAAAACTAACTCTGTGCTTGAACCTCTCTGAGACATCTTCCTTCTTCAGCACTGCAACTCCTCCTCCTTTCCCTCCCTTTTTATCTTTACAGAAGAACTCATACCCAGGATTATTTAATACCAGTTTTGCCCTTCCTTGACCCAGGCCTTCATCATCACTAAAATATGATAATTCCACATTGCAGTCTGTATTTCTAACTCCCCACCCTAATTTACTATACTCCATGCATTTATATACATGCACGCAAACTGTTTTGGACTTTTTCTTTCTCCTTCCTCTGACTTCACCTATTAACTTATTATTCTCTAGGCTATTGCCAGCTGTATACCTAAATATTTCGCAAGCCCTGGTATTCTCTTCTCTCCCTGATCCCTGCCAAGTTAGCCTTCCCAATGGCACTAGCAAAACACCCACATGGAACTCAGTACCAGGTACAACCCATCTGGCCCCAGAGCCAGTCCCAGTGTATCAGGAATGTTAACCCCTCCCTCCTATACCATCTTTCCAGCCAAGCATTCATCTGCGTTATTCTCCTATTTCTGTACTCACTTGCATGCGTGGCGCTGGAGATTACAACTTTGTGATCTTGCTTGCTAACTTTCTATTTAGCTCTCTAAATTCTGATTGCAGGACCACATCCACCTTCCTAGTTAAGTCATTAAAAAGTCATTGATTGTATATAGCTGTTGAAATGCTTAAAAAATATATCAGGTCTATTCTTGATAAGTATTTTATTCAAGTCTGAATTATATTAAGAAAAATATACTTCATTTATACTGTTTACTTGGAAGTGTTTCTTTTCTGCTAAGATACACCATTGTAATCAACTCAGAGGCAATTCAAGCACCATCCAATAATCCCACATTTGCAATAAAGTGTAAATAATCTGCATAAGTGTCTGTGGATGATTCACTTTCAGAAAACATTGATTGTCGAAACAGGATAATGGAGAGTGACAAAGTTAATAATAATTGAAAAGGCTCAGAATTACCAGCACCACTAGGATTAATAACAGTTCTACAGACATTTGTGTTATTGTGAAAATAATACAAAAAGCAGCCAGATTTTAGCTTTGTATCTTAAACATCCAGAAAGAACAGTCTCTTGAGGGTCATTTCATGATGCGTGATCCATCTGTGGTATATCTAGCTTCTTCATGCTAGGGGGCCCTGTTGTGGCATAGTGTCCCTACCTCTGGACCGGGAGGCCTAGGTTCAAGTCCCATCTGCTTCAGAGGTGTGCAATAACATCTGAGCACATTGATTAGAAAAAAAGAGGTCAATTTTAAAAAAATTAAAAATGTATGCAACTTGCTCCTTCAGTTCTACTATCCACAATACCTTCAACAACTTGCATTCGTGTGGAATGATCAATGAACTAAAATCCCCAATCTGCTCCATGAGAAATATACAACTTGATGTCAAGCAATAGCTCAAAACATAGAGAATGACCATTTGTATGACATGACCAAAGGTACCGTTATTTTAATGAAAACTTTGAACAAAAAGTTACATTTTTGTACATAAAATATTTAGTAATCATAACTATGGTCAGCAAAGGACATCTTCAAATCAAAAAGAGTAGCTGAACCCAAGACTGACCTACACAGATTCTTAAGGGCAGGGAGGAAAGTGAAGTTAGGGCCACAATCAGATCAGACATTAATTATTTTGTTGTTCTTAATTGGCAGAGCAGCTTCAATTGGGCAATGGCCCAGTGCTCCTACTACTTATTTGGCCATGTATAACAAGCAACACAATTCTATGAGAAATAGTTGTGAACAAGTATTTTTTTTTAAAGAGGATACAATTATAAAAATACGATGTTACACAATCAAATACTAACATTGGTTCATAGAAGTGGGAAAACAATTAAACAACAAAGGAGAATAGATTTTCTAAGCTAAGTAGGAAAACTAAGAATACAACCTCAAATTATGCTAATGTTGTAAAAGCTTTCCTAACATTTGCAAGAAATGCAGAGAAGTTGTTGGTTTCTTTGAGTTTTTCCTGCAGTGAAGGCATACATTCCAGTGGTGGTTCACATGATGTAACTGAAATGATAAAGGAAAAAAGCAGAATGTTAGCTACCAGAAATTGATGATAAATAGCATACTGTTACAATCATATTTAGGAGCTTTCTTCTGCTTTGCTTCAGTGATCCATACAAAAGGCATGAGGTCAAAATTTGGCAAGATCTGAAAGTGAATTCAAAAAGTGTGGACTAGCCCCATAATTAAAAAAGAATTACCACAAAACTGAATTGTTGTAAAATCCTGACTGAATCACAGTGCTCAAGAACAATCACAGTGCAGGGTGGGGCCAGTATGTGGCTGCAGTTGACATCAAAGACTCCAGGCAACTCAGGATGGGCAATAGATATACATCCAAAGACCATAAGTATTAAAGGTTATTCAATGTCCCACCCCAAGTCATATCTGTATCACTCACACAATGCCATTTTAAAATGTAAATGACCTAATCAGACAAGAAGTGAGCTTGCTGCTCAATTAATAGTCCCAGTGAAAGAGCACAACCATCAAAGGCGTATGACAATCATGCCAGACCTACTGTTGTCTTGCAGAACATTGGAGGATAGGCAGCCTGACTGTACGAAAAAGTTGATAAACCAACTTAAAGGTAAATGAACCTGATCTCACACTGAAAAACTTGCAGTTAAGCATTTGCATCATAAGCATGTTCATGCTTCCACATTTGAATGTGACAGGCAGTCAGCATCACCTAGAGGAGCAGGCAAGAACAGAATCTCAAGGCAGTAGGTAGAGACACAGCTAGATTCAATATAGCTGATTGGAATTGGTTTATGCTCCGCTATCGAGCAAAGAATGTTTTTTGTGGTCAAGGTCGTTCCTATTCTAAAGTATTAACATAGTATACAGATTGGTAATGTTAATAAGCTTACTAAAAAGTGAATATTGTGATTAAATAATGAAGGCAAGAGAGGTAATGTGTCAACGCTGCAGATCCTGGACACCATCGTGATCCAACGCAGACGTGTCTGCCGGAAACACCTTGGAGGTTGAACTACGATACGACAATGGTGGGGTGGAGGGGAGGCGGTAGTTATTTGGCTTCTTTTACCAATAGGCATTAACACCATTTAGGATATGGTCTTTGGTCAGGGACTCTGAGTAAGGCAAGAAAGGAGACCCAGAAAGTTGGAATGTTAACCTCTGCAATTTGAACATATCTGAGATACTCTCAACTTGTTTGGATCAGAACATGGACTGTAGAGTGGATCAGCAAACTGACACCATGGCACTAAAATTTAGGAAGCCATTCAAGAGGCTGAAGCAACAAAGGATATAATAGTAATAAGGAGAGTATAGTGAAAGGGATTAACACCAAGGAATGAATGTCCGGATGACTGCCGCCTGCCCAGTGCAAAGGAACTTGCAGTGGGAGATTCGATTGGTCACGGTCCAAGTAGACACCAATAACAGAGCTAGAAAAGAGGATCGGCTGACTAGGTGGAGCTAGGAACTAAATCAAAAGGCAAACCCTCAAAAGATAATCGTTGGATTATTACTCAAGCTATGTGCAATTGGCATAGGGTATATAACATTTGAGAGAAATGAATATGAGGTTCAAATACTCATGTGAGAGAAGTAGGTTCCAGTTTGTGAGGGCTGTACCGTTAAGGCAGGCTTGCTGGGGCCAGTGCTCTTATAGTTTTAAATGGTTTCTAAATCGTGAGGCAAGGGATCAAATATGGAAAAATGTCTCACCTTGTGTTAAAGCAAAACGTAAAACGAAGATAATATAAATATGGGAAGTAAAGGTCAGACAATGGCAAGAAGGAATATAGAAGAAAAAAAAATTGCAACATTTGGTCTTGATTGCTGATATATTCCCAATATAACTCTCCAAATGAGCATGTCATCTGGTATCATTCTTCTGCATTCCTCCTGTAACCCTGCACATTCTTCCCTTTCAAATAACCATCCAATTCCCTTTTGAATGCCTCAATTGAACCAACATCCACCACACTCAGTGCGTGCCAGACCCTATCTACACATTGTACGATAAAGTTTTTACGCTGTATCACTTGTGCTTTGTTTGCTAATTAGTGTAAATACAGAGAAAGTGTTCTAATCCGTGAAATGATTGAGAACAAGAGTTCAACTTTATAGACCTTCCATGATTTTGAACATTTCTATCAGATCTTGTCTCAGCACTCTTACCAACGAAAAGGCCCAACTTCTCGAATCAGTTTTCACAATTAAAATCTTTATCTCTGGAACCATTCACTCAAGCCTCTTCCAGATCCTCTCCAATGCCTCCACATCCTTTGTAATGTCTGGCGCCCAGAACCAGACACAGTGTTCCAGCTTCGGCAAATCTAGTGTCTTAGACAAGTTCAACATAACCTTCTTGCCCTTGTATTCTATGCCCTATTGATGAAACCTGGGATACTGTATGCTATATTAGCTTCTCTCTAAATCTGTACTGCCACTTTTAATGATCTGTGCACATGATCTCTCTGCTCTTGCACCCCATTTAGAGTCGTACTCATTCATTTATATTGCCTACGTTATTCCTACCAAACTATATCATCTGACACTTCTCTGTATTGACTTGCACATGCCAAATTTTGAAATTGTACACCAAGGTCTAAATCATTAATATGTATCAGAAAGTGCAAGATTCCCAACACTGACCCTTGAGGAACTCCACTACAAGCCTTCCCCAGACTGAAACATGCATTACTCTTTGCTTCCTGTCAATCAACCAACTTTGTATCCATATTGCTATTATCCTTTTAGTTCCACGAGTTCTAACTTTTGCAAGGTCAAATGTCTTCTGTTACTTGCACTCATTTCTGTAAACAACAGTCACAATTTTTCAAGCCACATTGAATGTACAATTTTTAAACTGATCTTCACCAATTATCCGTCCATGCCATGTGCATGTGTATGATCACGTTTCCATTGATGGGGTCAGTGGCCTAACTTGAATAATTTACTCAAGGCGTGCCAAAACCTTGATACATAAGAGCTCTAACACGTATCTTCTGATCAATTTCAACTACTTGGGTATTATACAGTTGAGCTATCCATGGAAATGTAAATATCACAGATGCAAGCATTAGTAGTCATCACAGATTGAAACTGAAAATACTAAATATTGAAAGAATTCTTACTTTCACACCTACAGAGCAGTTAAGTTTAGAAACAAGCTTTCAGGAAGATGCTGGATAAATATACAGTTGTGATGCATTACTTATAGCGTATGCATGTGCTGGAAATATTAAATATTCTAAAGCACATACTGGTTGTAATACAGCTGAGATTAAAAAGAGCAGGGTTATTGCTGTTTGGAATGCAACAGAGCAAGAACAGGTCAGAGGATTGCATATTACTTTTGGAGATCACTTTTCCTTAGAAGATTAAACAATTGGATTTAAAGTCTAACAGCAATGGGGGCATGGTGTAGGAAAGAGTTGGTAGATTTTATGAAAGAAACAGGCTTGTTGGCTTCAAATTATTTTCACTCATTTACATTTGTTCGTATGCTCTTAGGTAGGTTCCACATTACAATTTTCAAAAAAAGCCTTACCTTCATAATTTCCTTCTTCACTGAATTTCAGCAGAAATGTAAATGGCTGCTCAGGACTTTTATGGCTGATGCATCTGAAGATAAACTGGAGTTGTTCCCCTTTTGAAGAACCATTAAGTTAGTATTACACCACAAAACACAAATAGTAAGTTCTATAAAAATATCTTCACAAAGAATGATTTCAAATTCAATTAACAGATTCACGTCTTACCCTTCATAAAGAAAAAAATGCCTCTGGTTGCTACCTGCTGACAGGTTTGCAAAGTACAACTGCATTTTTAAAAACTTGATACAAGTAACAATGCTAGAATCTCAGTCTTAACAGTATTAAATCTAATTCCACCTGCTATTTTTTAAAATTCAAGAAATTCAATGTCAAAGTCAATCATTATTGTAAAAGTCAAATAACTGAGCTAGAGGGTGGCACAGTGGCTCAGTGGTTAGCACTGCTGCCTCACAGTACAAGTGACCCAGGTTCGATTCCAATCTTGAATGACTGTGTGAAACCCATGTCTGTATGGGTTTCCTCTGGGTGCTCTAGTTTCCTCCCACAGTCCAAAGATGTGTAGGGTAGGTGGACTGGCCATGCTAAATTGCCTACAGTGTCAAGAATGTTCAGGTTAGACATGGGAAATGCAGGGGTAGGAGGAGTCTGGGTAGGATGCTCTTCGGAGGGGTGGTGTGGACTTGTTGGGCCAAATAGCCTGTTTCCACACAATAGGGACTCCATGAAATGTAGTATAAACTAAATTAGACCAAACTAAATGTGTCAAGTTTAAAACAGAAATTGGAAATATTTGTATATGGCAACATTTTGTACAAAAATATCGAGCTGAAATATTATACTATTTGCACATGTTTCAAGGATAAATGATTGCCAAATTCAAGCAACTCAAAATCCACGTCATTTTTAATGAAGAACAAATTCCTCGATCTTACCCTGCACCTTCCGAATTTCCAGGCCCATTCGCTTCTTGAACATTTCTGCAGATAAATTTAATTCCTTCAGCTTTGCTTTATTTTGGTGTTTTTGTGTAGAAATTACTGCTTATGAAGAAAGAACTAATTATTTTCATGGTTAAAAAGAGCAATTTTAAATGAATAGATTCAATAATGAATTATTAGAATAAAGATTAGTAAATGCCACTAAATTCAAGATTACCAATAGTTTCCAATTTTATGTACATTGTTGCATATGCAATTGGAAACAATTAATTTATTTATTTTTGTCCACATCAACATTATTTGACTTACATGTTTTGCTACAATTGTACATTGCTTTGCCAAAACAACACTATGCTTGTACTCAAGTTTTAGACAGGACATACTTGCCTTAAGGCAGTAGAACAAAATCTCATTAGATTGTTATAACAAGGTGTGGAGCTGGATGAACACAGCAGGCCAGGCAGCATCAGAAGAGCAGGAAAGCTG